CCAAAGTGAACGAGACATTGATGTTTATTCTTTAGAGGAAGAAAGGGTTGTGGGGAAGCCTAGATTTCATAAGGTCGATAGAGCTGCTAGCAGAGGCAAAAGGCTTATGAGTTACTATTTTTGTATCGATCTATATCGGGTTAGGGAGTGCCTGAAGCTTTCAGTCATCAAGCGAATAGAAAAGCTATCTGAAGGTAAAGTGGTAGGGGTAAACAACGCAAAAAAGAGCCCAAAGAAGAGTGGCCAGATGCTAGTCGAGACTACCAAAAGAACCTCTCGAGGAGCTGATGAAAGGAAATCGATAGCAGTGGAATGTCACAGCATGAGTCCCACTGTGCAGCAAGAGTTCTCATAGAAAAGTGTACCAAGGGCAACTCAAAGGAAGCACATAAAGCATTGGTGGTACGGATATAAGGGACCATTGTAGCAGAATGCTAAAAAACTTAGGATCGAGTCCAGCGGAAGTATGTTCGGGTATAAGACCAAAATATTGAAAAATTGGTTTGCAGGGCAGGAGTTAAAATTAACCTACAAGGTAGGTGCATCATCTCCCTAACAATGAGGGCATTCATTGCTAGAATGAGTGTGGGAAAATGTCATGGTCCATAAGTTAGTGCAAGTCTAAGGGTTCTCTTCAAGTTGAGTAACAATTCAAGTTCTAGTGGGATCGAGTCTGACAGCCAAGGGAACCAAGCCCTAAGGCATACTAGAAGTCCAAGTCATAGGAAACTAGCCCAGAACAATAGGGCGGGCAGTGATCAAGACTCTAGAAGCTCAAGAAAGGTGTTCAAGTTAGTCTAGATTGAGCCAAACACAAGGGTAGGTGCTGGTGAGTGTTGTGCGGGCATCTAGTCAAATCCAAGTGGGAGCACTAATGATTAAGGTGCGGGTGCACGATTGGGCCCAAATCTTCTAGAATTAAGGGATTGTAATCTCTAACTTTTTGTTGTTCTTTTGTTAGCTTTTCTTCAAGCACTTGCTATATCTTTTCATTTTGCAACGTATTGGGTGGCCAAACCCCGTAGTCTAAAATATTCATGTAACGTTTTTTGTGTTAGATTGGTTTGGGACGCAAAAGAGTCCATTCTCATGTCCTGAAACTGCATGAATATAGAACTTGAATCTCGACCCCGTAACACTTGTACTTGATGGTAAGAAGAGTGACCATCAAACAATCTATCTTCAGCACCTCTCAACTCTTCCTACAATCCTCCAGCTCCTAGATGATCACAATTATGAGGCCATCGATGAGTCAGAACGTGGGTACTTTGACCCGTCAAGTCGAGCATATTTTCACATGCATGCACTGCTCCTGTACACTACAATGGAACCTTCTTTGATGACACTGCTTCTATAGTGACCAAGGCTTGGTTTGAGGTAAAGGTTTTTGGGATGAGGAAAGTTCTGTTCCTTAGGCTTGGATTCTCCATAGCGGCCTTCGCTAAGATCCGTAGATCAGAATGGGATGGACCCTCAACATTGTCTCGGAAATCCGGAGTCTTCTCAACGTTGATTATTACAAGGTTCAGTTCAGGACTGAATCCACCAGATCAGAAGCCAACTAAAGTGGGTTTAAATTCGGCAGTTTTTCCAGGATGTCCACCTTCACCCGCTAGAGCACCAAAAATGATAAACTTCGTAGACACAAAGGAGACGGTTAGAGGTGAGGACCCCCCCTGGATATTAGGTAGTTACTGGAGCCAAACTTGGTGTAGAAGGTGGCAGAGTCTCAATCAAAGCCAAGTATTTGATGTTAACAATAATGTCAAAAGAAAGTATAACATTCATGAGAGAAAAGTAAATGAGGAATACAAATTATTTGTACAGCTTGTAAATGTTATCATGTACTTTATTTTATTCGAAATTACCTTGAATATATGTCATTTGGCACAGGACCATTCTTTTCATTTGTGTTTTTAGGGAATCTATGGGTGAGATTTCTAGTTCTACACGTTTGACTGTCATATACTCCGATCTATTCACATTCACTACCTTCAGCATTGGAAATTTCACCTTTAACCATATTTTCTTTTGTCTATTAATTCTGGAAAAAATGCTTAATATCGAGAATTTGGCATGATCTTGACAGCAGCACGCGAAAGTGAATCCATTGAACGAGAAAATGTTGATTGTTCAATGCACCAACTCTCTTTGCTTGAATGGTACCGATCTCATTACTTGGATTTTCTTTTAGCAATACCATGGCGCTCTTATCTTCTTCCTTCACTGTCTAAAAAATTGGTTCCACCAAACAAGCCCAACAAGAATGATGAGAGTCTGAGGTACACCACGTGGGGTAAAGATCACCAAATCATTCGCTTGCAAATTTTGCAACATGTTTTTTTTGGTTGCTTCAATCATTATCACAAAATCACCTTCCACCAATAGTCTTCCCACTTCACAAAACATCCACCAAACAGCCCAACAAAACATATGAGAAGAATATATTCCAGTCTACAATGACGAATCTCAATTATATTTAAAAAAAAAAAAGCTTATTTTCTTCTTAATATCTTGAACAATCTGTCTTTTTAAGTACCACTAACATTTTTTTTCGGTGAGGAGATTGAATCCTTAACACGAAATTTTCATCTTGTAAGAATTTCTTCATAAACGAAATCAGATTTCATTTCAACATGAGCAATAACATAACCAGAAGGATATTATTAATGCCAAATTTTGGTGTAGAAATGGATAGAATACAGTATTATACAAGATGATTTTGGCTCTACATTATGGCAAAGCCTTCGATTATACGTAAATATTTACAAATCGTGCCAGCAACTGTAAGTAGGATCCACATCACAGCTTGCGTGAAGAAATTGAATCACCTATGTTTTCTGTCTTTGGTCTACCACCCAACAAATCCCAAGAAACTGCAAACCAAACAAAATCATACGTTAAAACTATTAATGCTTAAGAACAGTTAATGCTTCGACAAATACTCAAGGTGAAGCTTGTAACCAGAAATTTTAATACAAAAGTTCTCAATTGACAAAAAAAAAAAAAAAAGGGCTTAGCAGCAGCAGTAGTCTGGACCCTGTAGTGTGGGGGACAGATATATCTCAAGCTACAGATGAAAGGGAAAACTTTTCTATGAAAGAGGAGGTTTTCTCTGAAGATTTTATTTTCCCAGATCGTTTCCTGTGAAATACTAAACCTTACCCTGATCTCTGTCAACTTGGATTGAGTTATCATCCAATCCGAAGATAATCTTTCAGGAATTTTAGACAAAGACAGGGAAACCTAAGCTTGATCAGAAACAATCTTAATCCAATCAAATCGGACAAGGAAAACAAAGAAAAGAAAAGACTTAGGAGTTGACAATTATAGTAACAGTTAAAACTTGAACGAACCTGAGAGAACGAATGGCGAGGTGTTGAGAGAGAACATGGAAGAAGAAATTGGCCCCATGAAGGAACACCACAATTCCCGTACACCCCAACACCAACAGCTCCACCATCATTGGAAAATCAATCAAAGTCCGTTATCACCAAGGAAGGCAGAGGACTAGAAAACCCGAAGCACAAAAACAAAGACTTTCTTTTTCAAAGACTCTGTTCTGTTCAACTCTTTAAATATAAGAAAAAAGTGGAGCACCCCTTAAATCCTTGTAATTGAACTTGTTCTTAAAGCAACGATTAATCAAATAAATGATAATTATCTCCAAGTATTATAAATAGTCGAGTATTCCATATCCATGTCCATATCCATGTCCATATCCCATGTGGACAAGAGAATAGATTCCTCCAATAACTATTCACTTTTTTAATGCACGAAAATGAAACGCGATTGGGAACTGACTCCGACTCTTGCAAGCTCGAGATTTCGACAAAACGGTTTGTCAGACGTTTGAGTTTGGTGGGTTTAATGGATAATGGTGTAGCTGAGGTGTATAGGAAAAGCGTGGAAATTTATGTCCTGACTAGTGTATTATACTACTATTTGGTTTGCAAACCGACGTTTATCGTTTTGTCTGCCAACTGCCATTCTTGGTTTAGTTTTTAGCCACAGGCTTTGGTGACCAACCCGCCGCCACCAACCACTGGTTTTGCTCTAATGGTTCTAGTTGGCTTCTTTTTTTTTTTAAAAAAAAATCTTTTTACGGGGGACTTTTGATTTGCAAGTGGTTCTCTATAATACTCTTAACAATGATCAATTCAATGATTTGAGTTTGGCTAAATCTTTGTTTAATATCTAGGAGAGCCTCCCAATAAGAAAATTATTGGGTCATGATCTCAGTGAGTCTCTTATTCTTCTCTTAATTGAAAGTTTGAAACACAAAATAAGGCCAATGGCTTATTTAAAAACCGACCCTGTTTAAGTTTATCTATGATGAGATTTAATCATTATTATCATCACTAATCTATAGACCACCAGATGAGATGGTGAGAGTCGTTAACTACAGTTGATCAGAAAAGTTGGAGGTCAATAGTTACTGCACTGCACGTGAAACACCGCAGTGGTTTAGATGTCATGTCAGATTGCTAACGCTGGAGATGGGTGGCGTTAGAGGGAGGAACTGTTACTGCAGAACCAATTATCAGAAAGTGGGAATAAAAGTCCATGCTTTGTTTAGTAGAAATAAAAAAACTGAAAAGCCTGAAAGAAATTCCATTAATAGATGCAAGTGATTTAATTGTTCTGCATGAGAGATTAAGGTGTGTGAATTAATGTAATGAATTCAAGCAAGCCAGTAAAGAAGCTCTTTTCCAAATGTTATCCACGTAGCGAGCAGACAAAGGTACCGCTTTGCATGGTAAACTAAGAACTTAACAGGGCAATGGGAAGTGAATGTTTCTTGTTGTGTAGAAATGGCGAAAAATGGGAAGAAAAGAGAGGTTTGGATTACCCCATGCAAGCATAGGCCCAAAAAAGGTCGCACGAGCAGCATTTTCCCTTGGTTCAACTCACTTCCTGCTGGAACCAACTACACACTATAAATGGGTTACGCTAGAAACTTGAGTTAAAGAGCTTTATCTTTCAAAGTAAGAAGCATCTCATAAATTTAAGTTTAGACATAAACTAGAAAGGTCACTGTTACTCCACAATATAGTACAGTTCTGGTTGAAAAGGAGCTATAAAAGGATGGGGATCTTATCATGAAGCAAACAGGTGTTGCTTCAACATTCAGATTAGGCATGCATCGGGTCGTCAAACGTTATGAAATCATTAAGAATCCTACCCAGAAATGCCTCCCACCAGGATTTTGATAACTAACTCTATTTTTCATTTGACTTACTGCTTTTGTTAATCATTCAAAAGAGTTGACAACAACAGATCTTGGACAAAACCTGCTCTCCCTGTGGCTTGCCGAATCCTTTTTTCTCGCTCTTCATAACTCAAAGAAGGATCAAAACTGCATGAAAGAAAAACGTAAAAATAAGATGCCAAATCTGAATTATATTCGACAGTTCTATGAATAATTGATATACATGAGAGGTAAGAGAGATGCTTCATATCCCAATATCAAAGTTTTCCAATTGGCTTTTCGGCATGGTCATACACACATGAATCCCTAACCTAACCCCTTACTTTGAACCACACTGCTGTCCACTAGGTAAAAGGGTACTCCTCGGATTGGTTATTAGAATTGCATCAAAGTTGCAAACTGAAATATATACATCTTAACAAAAAGTTGAAAGGATTGGGAAAATGTTAAAACATTATTGATTATTCTCTACGTAGAAAAGATAGGAGCCATTACCTTGATTTCCACATATTTGCTGGCGCCATATTTTTTGCAGTAGTGTCTTTGGAACTAGTTACAACAGATTTTGTAATTTCTTCAGCTTCAGATGCAGGGAAATTCAACAAAAGTGAAGAAAGGAATGAATCAGTAGCTGCATTAGACACATTAGTACTGCTTGACCTATATGCACCACCCCCTAGAAGTACTTGCAGATGTGCTTCACGAAGATCCCGGCCCAGGAGAGACAGTGCCTGACTGTTAGGAATTGCAACTCTCCGTAACCTGCGACGTCTCTGCAAGTAATCTTTTGTTAAGGGAAACTGGCATAACAATTCAACTTTTCAGACTACATAAAGAACCAAAGAAGCTGTACATGCATAATTTCCAAGTCAGATGAAGAGAAAGACAAGGTAATGAGAAGTTTCATTATTAAGGATATCTTGAATAAATGTCCATGTTGCTGCATGATATGACTTAGCATGTCTCTCGCAACTTTGACAGAGCAAACTGGACAAATCTGTAACAGAAAGATTGATGCAGTATAAGACAATTCATCATGAAAACATCAATGGAAACTTTTTTCCACCATAAATCCTGAGGTTAAGTACAACAAGTAAGAATAATAAACAAGATTTTACTAGTTGTTTTTGTTCCTCCATGTAATAATTTTGCATTTACACAATTTTGGACACAAATATTGCAGAAGACATTCATATGAGCAAGAATGAAGAATAGGAATCACAGCAAAAAAAAAAAAATCTCTCAATTAGAATAATAAGGAAAAATCTAAGAAATATGTTTAGATTTGTATAAGGTGCCACAGTGCTAGTTGGTAAAAGCCTTTTGGTGGATGTACCGTGGACCTGAGCTTGAATTCTGTCTTCACTAGGGGTTGGGTGGGAGGGAAGGGGTAAGATAATCTACTATGGACCAAAAAGTAAGGGTAAGACTAGTTAATTATTCTTTCATACATAGGAAATGATTAGCCATCCAAATCTACCTCCATCATCAATGGCATATACCAAATGCTCATTCCGATCTACCATTAGCAATAGCATATACTCAATGCTCATTCTCAAGCATAACATTCTCTACCTGTCACACCTATCGTACCTTTCCATGTATATACACTTCCCAAGTTTTATCTGTTGAATGTAGCAATCTTTTCCCTGCATGAAAATAACATCAACAATCCTGCTCAAGCTCCTTCATATCCAGTGGCAGTTCTTCTCTTTGTATATAGTTTAATTCATTATGAAAAGAAATAGAAAGAAGTGGCTCAAAACTCTTATCAAATTCCAACGCAAGTTTATGCAGCCTAAATGACCAATTATTTATCTTACACAAGGCCTCAAGTTCCATCTATAAAGGAGAAACCAGATAATATATTAACACACCAATTAAATCGAATATTTTAGTTTCATTTCTTCTTGTACCACATTAAAACTGCGTAAAGATTGAAAAAATCCTAAGATTTTGTCTGTTAAGCAACTATCTAATTCGATCGCCAAGGCATTGCTATGGTTGTCTAGTAACTGAAAGAAGCAAGTCCACTTGGTAGCAGAATCACTGATGTCATTGTCATTTGTCATAGGCACCAAAACTGTAGACCGGGAAATCTAAAACACGACATGAACACAATACAAAAAAAGGACACCAAGTTGGCACGGTTTAAAATTTTAGCAATAACTATAATAGATTTAATAAAACCAAAAAAATGTATTTAATGGTTTTGTGTCAACACAAATTGTGACATGCAATTTTCATGTAAAACATAGCATAAATATACAAATTGCCAGGTCTGCACCAATCCTAATTATCTTTCATTCGGGCACCTTTCGGCCCATGGTAAGTGTATGGAATTAAAGCAATTTAAATTTCTCTTCTTCCAAATCAAGCATCCAATATAATAACCAAACCTTCAAACCACAAACTTTATCCTTATAAAATCACCCGTGGCGTTGGAATAGGTCCTGAAATCATCAGCAGCATCTTCGAATCGTTATAAAAAAACAACGTTATCCTTAACATTCTTAAGGTTCCTCTCATCCCCCACACTCCAATGTTCAAAACTGAGCAGCAATACTAGCGTATGATATTCTAATCATATTCTGGAAGCATCAAATCTGCCTCATTTCATAATCTAATCCAACAAAATCCAATAAATGTTTGCCTCATCATTTTATAATCCTATTCAGCTAAAAGCAGAAGGGCTAAAGGAGAAAAAAAAAAAAAAAAAAAAAAACTAAAATTAAGCTTACACAGATGGTTGCACAATTGCCTAACAAGAAAATAACCATAGCAGCAAGCAACTCTGCTACAACCTTAGTTTGATCATATAAATCAAAGAAGATACCACAAAAGAAAAAGAAAAAGAAATTATCCAACCAAAAATATAAATTTTTTTTTTTGTTTTACTCCGTTTCTATAAAGGAAAGCACAAATTTTGCATAAAAAATAAACCAAAAAAAAAAAAAAAGGTTATTATAAAAGCTTGCCTGAATTAAACTTATAAGAACAACCTCGTACCATATCAAACATAACCCAAATCGGAAACAGAAAGATTTTTCTGTCTCTACCCGTTAAACCAAAAATTTTTTTTTTTTTTTAAATTATTAGTGAAATTTGCTTACCGTAGCTTTTGACTCACAGGGATGCTCATCTTCGAGATGCGAACACAGAGACGCGATATCGAAATCCTCGTAACAGTACGGACATGGGAATACGGGTCGTACATCGTCCTCTACCTCAAAGTCGTCGATGTTCAAACGATCTTTATTTATTTTTTGTTTATGTTTCAAAGCAAAAAAAAAAAAAAAACCAACATAAAAAATGAGATAACAAGAAAAAAAACGATGAAATGTTCAAAAAATAAACAAAAACGAACCCAGATGAGAGCTCTGATGATGGTGCTGCAAATTATATTGGCGTTTGGCAGCTGCAAGACGAGACGTCCAGAAATCGGAATCCATTGAAAGACCCAAAGGTTGAGTTTGGCTATTTAATAACAATAACTATTCACCACCAAAAATATAATCTTTAAAACAAAGAAAAATATATCAATATCTGCTGAAGCTTTTTTTTTCCCTTCAAAATTTATATATTTCTGGGTTTCTTTGACTTTTTATCTGAGACCTTTGGCTTTGTTGATCTCGATAAGCTTTCATCTCCAAGGAGAGAAAAGAAAGAGATGGTAGATTATTTGTTTATTAATAATTGATGAAGCATGATTTTATGGTTAAAAAATTGACCATTTCTTTTAATTAAAAAAATATATCTTAATCTGATGAGGATTGCGGAGAAGCTTCAAAAAAATGACGATTCAAGACACAGAAATGAGGTGGTGGTGGTAGTAAAGACTGAAAAGCCTCTAGACAAGATGTGATGTAGAGCAAATGTCGGGGTTTTCTTACTATTTTTTTGCTCTTTTTTAGTGTTCTATTTAGTAACTAACTAGTGGTCTATATTTGCTGCCTTTTCATTTTCGCTAAATACAATACACTCAAGTTTACAAGATAAGGAACCATTTTTGGGATACGTTAGAGAAGAAAGAGGAGGCGCCCTTGAACAGAAATGAGCTGACAAATTAAACAAAGCATTATCCTTAATCCAAAAGATTAGAACAAGCATTAATTGAACTCCATAACCTGTTGCAAGAGATGTTACTACTTATCTTAGTATTATCCAAAGTTAAGAATCCACTGGTTCAAGGGTATGTCCAATAGTGATGAAAATGTTTTGATCAAAACGACGGCGTTTAATGCTAGTTTCACTTTCATGAGAGAAAACTAAGAAAGCTTCCATTTGTGTTCTAACTTCTAGGGCGTCCTCATTTATCGTTCTCCCAGAGGCTCTGATAAAAAAACTACCAAAAGAAGAGAAAGCAGAGAAAAGAAGTTTTGGCATTGGAATCAATGGCGACGAAAGGGAAGCAAAAGCAACAAGAAGAAGAACAACAGCAACAAAGACAAGAACAAAAGAAAACAACAGAGAAGAGAAAGCCAGTGTTTGTGAAAGTGGATCAGCTAAAACCAGGTACCAATGGCCACACCTTAATCGCCAAGGTCTTGTCCTCTAACATGGTCGTTAAAAAGGGTCGAGCTGCTTCTCAACATCTCCGCCAACCCCGCATCGCTGAGTGCCTTGTTGGAGATGAGACAGGCACTGTCCTCTTCACTGCCCGTAATGATCAAGGTCCATTTTCTAACCCTTTCTTTGTTTCTTAAAAAAGTTTTACGCTTTATGGATCTGATCTTAATTTCTATTAAAAGGGTACATTTTGATTCATTCTTGATACCAAAAGATTTGATATTTCCTTTGGTTTTCATTTCTTTTTGGCTTGTTTTAAAGATGCAATGGCATTTAGTGAGCTTCTTTTTTTAATTTTTTTTCTTTGTTTTGTTACTGCAAGTGTGAATTTGATATAATCTACTATCTTTAGCTGTCATTACGGGTTCTTTACTATTCTGATGTCGTTTTTAGTTTGGTTACATGAATTAAGTTTCTTGATTTTTTCTTGATTGGTTGGATAAGCCTCTAGCAAAGTGAACTAATTTCTTGTTCTATTAATATATTGTGATAAAATGGATTTGCCGTTGTGTTGAATTTTACTTCTTTTATTTCTCAATTTGAAATGTTATGAAAACCCTCGAAGATTATATACTAAATTAATCAAGAACCTAATTATTGGTTCAATTGCTATTCAAATCCTTAATGTATTAATCATAGTTAATCTTAATGGCTTGTCTGTGAGATTGTCACCTGCTCACAATTGCAAAAATTATCTACTCATATTTGTTTTAGTTTTTGGGTTTCCAGAGGTTCCAAACTGACAGTCATTGACAACAGTTGAAACTGCTGGTACTTACAATATTACACATACATGTCTTGGGTGCATGTATTGGGTTTTCTATTGTGTTTTGCATAAAGAAATTATTGAGAGAAAGACACTTCAATCCAATCTTATTTCTATGGAGGTGGTGTGTTGGGAGACCAGTAGACCTGCTGAAAATGCTACTCTAAACCCCTGCAATTTGATGATGATGCTTGAATTGTTTTGCAGTTGACTTGCTGAAGCCAGGTGCCACTGTAATCCTTCGTAATGCAAAGATTGATATGTTTAAGGCTTCTATGAGGCTGGCTGTTGATAAATGGGGCCGCATTGAGGTCACTGATCCTTCTAACTTTGTTGTTAAAGAAGATAACAATCTATCTCTTGTCGAGTATGAGTTGGTTAATATAGTTGAAGAATGATAGACTGCATGGACCTCAGTGACTTGATACTGAAGGAGTTCTTATGAAGTGGCATAACGATTCTTGTTGACTCTTCATAATGTTGGGTGAGATGCTATTACGGTACAGTTTTCATTGTGAAAGTGTTGGGTTTGGTATAGAAATCTTGCTGATGGTCGGTCTCACTCCATTATACTTTTAACATCTAATGGTTTAGTTTAGTACTAGTTGAGTGTGAAGAAGACTGCTTCTTTCTTCTGATCAAATTGCATCTGGATATTTAAGTATTGATAGTAAAATCCTTCTGTATTGAGTTTTTAGTTCTTCTTTGCTTTAATAACTTATAGGCAGTCCTTCTTCATCAAAATATTTGCTTCAAAGTGATGTAAAACTTTAATGTGATTAAATTGACAAATGTCTTTGCAAGTTTTTCAGTTCTTGGTTGGCCATACATGATACAGAACTTCTGCATTCTGGTTTTATTTGGGTTGTGAAATAAACCAGGCTGAACAATCAGGAGCTGTATTCAGAGATCATTGCTATATATATCAAGATGTTCTCAGTTTATGGTTTACTATGAAATTATCCCAGGACGCAAAGTTCAGTTTAGGAACAGAATGTGTCGAAGATTCATTTGATTGATGGGGCAAAAGGCCGCAAAGGTTCATATTCAACTAGTTGGGGCATGTGTAGTGATACAATACAACCACGGCAACTGTCTGGCTTACATCTCTAACAGATTGGATGACCAATGAGAATCATCCAAATGAAGCACTAACCAGAGTTGTGGCTGTAAGACGCATTGTAAAACCTGGAGTTGGTTTGGGCGTTGGACGAGAGAATGGAGAAAGGGTGATTGAGGTTCGCCCTTTAGGTGTTATTCATGGTATAGTTTTGTATTGGACATGCAGGATCTGAAGCAGCTGAACAAATCTGAGAGCACACAGGTTGGTGACTCGAAGAAGAAGCCATTGCTTTCTATAACAAAGAGCAAAATCCAAACGCCGTCACATCACCCTTTCAGATTAAGAAGTAATCAAATAAATAATTCATTGGACAAAAGCTACGAGGTTAAAAATGAGGAAGAATTAAATCTGGTGATAACTTGTATTTAACTTACCAAAACACAAAATGATCTATTTCCATCTGATACCTATTTCGAGATGCTGGCAGAACAAATGTAGTATAACATCGGGTTTTCATATTCGACCAAGGAGAAAAAATGTATTATGTCCTCCAAGGTGGATTGAATTTTCATGGAGATGAACCGTTCTCCAGCTTCCCAACCACAATCATCCTTCTACAGCACAAGAAATGGATTGCATCGTATTAGAAATGCATAACAATTTTATCCATACGAAACAAGAACAACAATATTATTCCAATTCTCATTTTGACTGGATTTTATAAAGGGTCAAATCACATTTCTATTTTCGACAAGCAAAATGAGAGAATTGGAACAGAGAGACTAGAACCAGAACCCATTAAGGCAGACTCCGCAAGTGTGCTTGATCATAAACTCAAATCAAAGTAGCCCAAGTTAAAGAAAATGGACATGACCAATGGAAGCAGAAGACGACACGATAGGAAGGTTAACGGTCCAAGAACTTCAATATCCTGGAAATAAAAATTCCTCTGCAAACTACAAAATTGTCTATATGAGCATGAAATTCAAATTTTCAGAGACAATATTCAATATAAAAACTGTTTCTTCCCTTACAGCTCGCAAATATTAACAGTGGTTAAAATTAAATGTAACATAAATAAGAATAACAATATATTACCATCGTCATCATCTTATCCTATCTTTCAAGTACAAAAACTTCAAAAGCACCTATTTATGACTTAATTCCATCCAACTTGTTGACTAATAAGGATGTTACTCGTCACCTTGTTAAACTTATGAGCAGGAAAAAGCATCTAAAGACCTTAAATTCCACCGCCAAAACACTCAAATCCCGTATTGGGATAATTTAAAATTTTGTTATAATATATAAATAAAAATTTAATTTTAAATTTATGAAATATTTTTTGTTAGATAAAATCGTAAGATTTCGAATCAAAATAAATGATATCTTTTAGATTAGGTGCAAATCTCTGTAAACGATATCAAAGTGATCACTAATTGAATGAAAACTAAGTGTTATATGGAGTCACTTTTAAAATTTTAAGAAAAATATTTGGTGTAATCTTGTGATTTATGTATGCTTTCTGTTAGCTCTCGTTCAACTGGTAACTATTTTGATATATTTAGAAAGTTTACATTTTGTATTATAAAAAATACTTAAAGTTCCATCAAATCGATCATAAAAGTAAAGAGTTTCGATGATTCAAAGTTAAACATATGTAATTGTCAGAAATTCAAAATTTAAAAACTTAAAATATTAAATTCTCTTAAATTACTCAACTAATTAAAGTGTCACACAAACCATTAGAAAGGTTTTAAAGAGACCTTTCCGCGGTTACCCACAATTTCATCATATCAAACCATAGACTAATTTTGTGGGTATTATATCATCCCCTAAATAGGAGTTTAGTCTTCTAAACTCATATTGTGATCATCAATTAGACGAGAACTAAGTGCTACATTGTGGGAGTTACTTTTAAAATCTTAAGAGAAATATTTGGTGTAATCTTGTGATTTATGTATGTTTTCTGTTAGCTCTCGTTCGACTGATAATTGTTTTGATATCTTTAGAAAATTTACATTTTGTATTATAAAAAATACTTAAAATTTGACCAAATCAGTTACAGAAGTAAAGGGTTCAAGTAATTCAAAGTTAAACATATGTAATTGTCAGAAATCCAAAAGTTAAAAATTTAAAATATTAAATTCTCCTAAATGATTCGACTAATTAAAGTACAACACATGCCATCGAAAAGGTTTTGAAAATACTTTTCCACTGTTACCACAATTTCATCATATCAAACTATAGACTAATTTTGTAGGTATTATATCATCCCCTCAAGGGGAGTTTAATCCTTTAAACTTATACTGTGACTTTGATACTATTTATAAAGATTCGCACATGATTTATGAAATATTATTTATCTTGATCCGAAAATTTTATTATTTTATTTCAAAAAATATATCACAAGTTTGAATTTAAGCTTATATATATATATATCATAGTAACTTTTTAAAATATTTCTATATGAGATTAGAATGCTTATCTTAGAGTGCAATTATCAAAAACTTTATCCGAACTCTTTGACATTCATCGTACATCATTGCAATGCGAGTGAAATAACTAATCATTATTGTTCTTATATCCTTCTATTGACAGGGATAAATATAAACAGGGTTTAGCTCAAGTTTGGCGGTTCTCGCGCTGCGGTCGCTAGGGAAGCGGCGGAGAGGAGGATGAACCTGGCGGCGGAGATTTTTGCTGGTGGAGATGTTGGATGGTTTTAGGCTTTTTCTGAATTTAGCAATGGCGTTTTCTGTGTGTATGGTTCTTGGCTTGCGCATCTATGTGGATCTTTGACACTAACTGGCCCGATTTATTAGTCTTGATAGTTGATTATTTAATTTTGAGAATCGTTTGCATCACGCTGAAGTCTCGCTTTGACATTAAATCTATACATGTAACCATTCTAGTTGGTTGCTTGATCTGATGAAATTTGATGATTTTTGTGCTTAATTTGTTAAATGTTGTGAGTTGTGCATGGGATTAGTGATGGCACTGTAACCGGTCCAGAGGATTTTTTGTCCCGATTTTAATCTTCATAAAAAAAAAATATATATATATATATCGATTTTGATATTAAAATATTATTTATTTATATTTTTTTAGATTTGATTAGTATAAAATTCTAACTAATATGATTTAAAATTAATTTAATAATTTAAATTTAATATAATATTTATAAAATATTATTTTTAATATAATTTATATTTTAATTATATATAGAAACAATATTTTTAATTAAAGTATTAAATAATAATTTTATTAATATAAAATATATAAATATAAAATTAAATAAATAATAAAAAATATTTATATATATATTAATTTGGGATGAGTTTACCTAAATTTTAATTCTGATTTGTTTTAAAAAAAATGAAAAAAACACTTGACCCAAAATCCTATAAAAAATTTTGGTCAAAACTCGGCGGATTTGATAATATTTAGCATCCCCAGGATACCGTTGAAACTCGGAATAATATAGTTCGTCTTTCGGCAATGGTGAGAGGAGAGGAGAGGAGAGAACAATGCTTACAAGCCCATAGGCCACATCGAGTCTCCAAGCCCAATCAAGTTTGTTTTAGTTTCTAACCTATGCACTTCCCAGAAGTCTCAGAACAGAAGGCACTAGGTGCTGGGCCAGGGTTCCGCCTAGCCCTGCGGTTCTGTAGGACATCCTTTATCTTTATCAAGTTGCTCTCAAATGAAACTTTAGAATTAACAACGGTCTCCAAACTGTTTGATTCAAAGAAAATTTGGAGTAAAAATGGAAGAAAAAGAAAATTACAAAGTTATTTTTTTATGTTTTAAATTTAAGAATATTATTTATACAAATAAAACAATCAAACGTAGCTTTAACTTTTAAGAAAAAAGAAGAAGGAAATATTTTTCCATGTTCACGTTCATTTGTGGTTTAGGGTCGAAGATTACTACTTTAGTAAAACTCAGCAAAGAAATTAGGACACCGCAGACCCTATGGCCTGGTGGCTTCAGAGTTGAGGCACCAAGTAAATTGTGTCATGCCCGAGGTCGAACATTGGTACTTGCTGTCCTTTCTCTGTTTCCTCTCATAACATTTATATTCCAAAATACCTCCATTTTGGCCATACTTCGTCTCAACCCCTGTTATTTTTATTAGGGAAGAGCTAGAGGTAAACAAAATTGTTAGTCATTGCAAAAGCTTGTTTGTGAATATGATTTATTACTATTATTATTATTGACTAATGCAAACAATGTAGGATGATAGTCAATATAGACCCTCCAAACATCCCCTGATTTTATGCCAACATTATGTGGATGCTAAGCTAGCTCAGCTCCATCCATCCAGTCCCCCCTATGAATCTTGCTTTCTCACCAGCCTGGCAAGGCAACCAGTTGATGCCTTTTGTTCCTAAAGATATGGAAACAGGGAAAGATAAGTCTGCCTCAGCTAATGTCTTTAGTTTCAAAAAAAAGTAAAGCAGATCTACTGATCAGAAATTAATTTCTGTTGAGAGCATTATAAAAAAAACAAAGGAAATAGTAGTATTTGTTATGATCCATCTCTGGTAGCACTACTGTCTCCCTACTTGAAAAAATATCGTGTGGGCTCGGCATGTGCTTTTCCATGTAATTTTTTTTTTTTACCAAAACTTAGTCATAATTTTCATAAAATGCTTAAAAGTTCTGGGAATGAAAAGCATGATGATAAAAATGGATATACAGCTAGCAATGGTGGGATGAACAGGGAATTGAGAAAGTGTGGGTGGGTGTAATTATTTGTTTGTTACTTTAGTACTACGTACTACTATCATATCTCTCTTTCAAAAGGCCCATTTCTATTTTTTTTTTTTTTCAATTTTAACCATTCAATCCCCACCATCATGAATACTCCTACAATTATATGCTCCTATTTCTGGGGTTCAATAAATTTTCCTTGTTGAAATGGGGTTCCATATCCATAAAGACACTGTACCTAAAAATTTCAGGAACAGCTTTGCTGATAGGGCACCCTTGTCCCAAATAATTACTCGGGTTAGCCTCAGACTTCCAAGTGCTTCTTATCATTATCTTGACCAAACCCCCAAAATTATGCTATAAAGTATAAACATTCCACAGTGACGTATATTATACGTATATAGACCTTCAAAAACACAAGTCTTTGGATTGCAACGAGTTAATATGTAAGTCAAAAAGACAGGAACCTAAAGCTTGAGAACAACAAATAAAGTTGGAAAAAGAAAAAGATCATAGTCTATTATCCATCATTCACGGAGAAGAAAATCCAATTGAAATGGATGATTTTTCACTTTCCTTCTTTAGAGTTTTGAATTATATGCTTTTTATATATTTATTCTTTTTCCAACTTTTACTTTTATGATGATAAAAATTCTAGGTGACCCTACATATTTTTCCCTTGCTTGTTGTTTACCAACCACAACTAGCATAATTACCTCTTGATCATCAATTTGGTGGATTATCTTTCTTAATTAATACCAATAAATTGACAAACTTTCATCCGAAATAGGATAAATAATATCGCATCTGATAACCAACAATTGAATTTTGGTTTTATAAGCAAGAATCATCGTTCTATCATCTGGGTTTTTTTTTTTTTTTTTCAAATGACAAAACCGACCGGGAAGGTTATCGGATCTTTAGAACTGACAATACCTAATAACAGATGCAATCCAACAATTCTTAATTTTATCCGTTGCATCAACAACCGCTATCAAGAAACATCAATAGTCTGATTCACATATCTCTCTTGCAAATGGTGATTAATTTGCAAGTGCTCAACTGTGTACCAAAAGGCATATTTTATCACTGTAAAGATAGCGATGGAGGGGGGGGGGGGGCATAACATCACACGGAAGGGGGAGACATACATAGACATTTTTTTCGTTGATGGCAGTTGAAAATCGGCTTCTATCAATAACACCATCGACTTGGGGATTTCCCACTGATAATACGCTGAAGCATGTACTAATCCTTGGATCGACATTTTCACGAATATGACCGCTACCTTATTCGAATTTAACTTTTTAGTTAGGTTCTTTAATGGTTGGTGAAGTGGGGTTCATCAATTAGAGAAGACAAGAGGAAAAGGTCCAATATTGATATCAGATAGTTAAAGTATCATGAAAGATTAAAATTTTGGATCACAATTTTAGTGAGGCTGCCAAGATTATCCTTGCGCATCATTAAATTTTATCAATGTCAATTTAAAAATCTAAAGAAGCTGATTTTTTTTTTTTTTGGCTTTTTGCTCTTAATTTGGTGGATTTTCTTTTCGAGTGTAATTTTTTTTGCAAAGAAAAGCAAAATTCAATGTAGCAAGAGAAACAAAGAGCTACCATATTAGAATATACTTACATTTTTTATTCAATAAAATTATTTGATTAAGTAAAAAAAAAAAAACCATAAGTCTCAAATTTTTGATATTTCAAACCAAAGGATAGCATGCAAACCAGAAAATTAGAAGATCACAAAGTAATCGCAAGACACATTAATAAATATTTATCTTGATCTTAACTCTTTTTGCTAATTACTTACCATACTTAACATATCTAATTAAAATCAATACTTGTTTTACTTGATTTTGATGTTCTTCACACAACTGTAGGGTACAACAGCTGATCATGGCTCGAACTCTTCCTCGTTCTCTTCGAACTCCTCTTGGTTCTGGTTGTACCTTCCCATGTTGTTGTAACGATTCTCATTGAACTCGTTCCTTGAAGCAAATCCCCTGGAGTTCTCGAACTGGTTAGGATAGTAGTTGTTATCGTTCTTAATATCATGGTAGTACTTTCCATTCTCCAAGTATCTAGTGTCGCTCATGCCTTGTTTCTCACCATTGTTGTACCCATTGTTCCCGTTGTAGTGGTTGTACTGGTTTTCTTTGGTGCTCCATTCTCTCTCTGTGAACCTGGCCTCGCCCAAGTTTTGCTGCTCAGTACTCTCGTAGGCATTCTTCTTGTAATAGAAAGTGTTTTTGTTATTGTTGTTGTTGTTGGATGCAGGAATGCTGTTGTAGGGTTCATCAGGGTGGTATTTGACAGGGGTAACATAGGGTTCATAGGTTTCTTTGGTAGTGGTGGTGGTGGTGCTGGGAGGGAGCTGGCCTGACTTGTGCCCGTAAAGGCCATAGCCATTTTGGGTCTCAGGGATAAACCTTGGCTCTTGCTCTTGGGTCGTCTTTTGGGTCGTCTCGGGAATGAAGGTCTCATGCTCTTGCTCTCTGGTGTCAGGGATTTTGCTGAATAATTCCCTGGCATGAATTTGCATGGAGGAGAGGGCAAAGAGGAACAGGATGGAGATGAGTTTTGATGAGGAAGCCATGGAAAGGGAAAGCGAAATGCAGCAAATGTTTGTGTGTGTATGTGTGAGTAGTACTACTCACTTATGAGAAATTGTGATGATACAAAATCTTTATATAGAAAAGACCAACCTTTTGTTTTCTCTTATAATGTAAAAATTTCTACTCAATTAGGTGCGAATGGAACGGGGGAATGGTGATGATTGTGGTCCATTGCACGGCAGAGAACTTTATCAAAAGAGTCCTTCCCTTTGTGCTTGTTGCTAATGATAATTTATATCTTCTTTAGATATAATTTGGTGCACTCTTTATGATCCCATTTCCCCACTGTGGCAAACATGTGTTCAAGATTCCCTCATGCGACTGTCCACATAATCTCCACAATTCTATTAAAATAACTAGTTCAAAGTATTTTTATTCTAATTTGGATAAAACTCTTGAGTATTTCGTATCTTCTAAGGAAAAGCTAAATTGACCTTATTGGCCAATAAGGGTATGTTCAATGGGGAAAAAGAAGCATTGAGGGTACCCTTAGAAAGAAAAAAATGAAAAGAAACGAAAGACTGAAGAAGGGTTTGGATGAAAGGGGCAGCGAATGTTTTTGCGAGGATTGAGGGGAGAGGGTGGGACATAAAATAATGGCATTTTAGTTCCTCTCTTGCATGTGCTGCCCTTCTGTTCTTTGTCTACAGGACGGAAGAACTGCTGGTCTGGCCCCATCTCTACGCTGCTTCCCTTTCTTTAAAGTGCCATCAGCCATGCGCATTCCCTACCAAAGGACCCACAACACTTGACTTCACATTTTTGTGGAATTTTATCATGTATATTTTTGGTAGTATGTATCATTTTCTACATTTGCAAAATCTTGTTCATATGATCAACATTGAATTCATATATAAAAAAGAAGTTGAATCGTTTTTGGTGCATTGATGAAAAGGAAAGAAATTGTATATACCATTTTTTGACCCTCTAGACTCTTAATGAAAATTTTAAGTTTAAATTTCTTTAATCAATATGATGTAAATTTTTTTTTTAATTTTTTGAACTTAAAATTTAATTTAATTGATTTATATAATTAATTAATATAATATAATAGATTTAATTGCGATTTTTTTTATGTCAATTTTTTGAACATGAATCATATGAGAATAAATTATTCGTAATGTTTTAATTTATTTTAACCAATAGAAATATCCTTAAATCCCAATTTAAATGCATCCAAATTTGGCAATCAATGTGGTGTTGGAAGAATTTGAGTTGCAATACGAAGATGAAATAAAAAAAACCCAAGCTGCCAATCCTAAGAGAAGTCCTCATCTCTAACCAAAATCTGTCTCTTCCTGATTTCCTTAGGTATTCTTTTTTCGCAATTCATAATATCGTTAGAGTGCAAAATCAGCAACATCTCCTAACGTATTCTTCTTCATTGCAATTGAATGCTGGTCACCAAATGCTTTTAATAAACTTTAAGAAAATGATTGGAGCCAATATCAAAGGGAAAATAAAAAGGAAAAAGGTAAAAAGAAAAGAAGAAAACTTCTCTTCATAATGATTTTGACTCACCTTTGTTCTTCATGCATTCAAAATCAAACACCAATGGCTCAACCAATAACAAAGCAAGATTAAAAACATGAAGCCACAGCTGATAGCAATTACTGGATTGTTTTTCAAAAGGAACCTGACTTTGGTTAATATTTCTTACCAAACAAAATGTAATATTTAGAAGTTGTTATCATGATAAAACATGAAAGTATGTATGCATCACCTCCTCTCTCGTTCAATTCACTATTTGGCTCCCGTTATTGTTTGATTTCGCCTCTAAAAGTACGTAAGACTTCAAGTATAGTCTTGGGGGAACTCTTGATGAAGACATGGAAGTTCATAGTTTTCGCGTTTAGGATGACAGGATTGGGAACGACAGATGAATAGTTCACAACTCAGCATTACCATTTTTTGGTTTTTAGGTTTAGTCCTTAGGGCTTAGAAAAAAAGGAAAGGTTGGATTAAAAAAAATGATACAGAATTATAAACGCTTTATTGTCAACGTTAGTGTTTGACCAATCATTTGAAATTTATTTTCTTTTTCTTTGGCATTTACTTTTGCTTTCTTTTTCCGTTCCCTGGATTAAGCGGAGTTTGGCTGCGTGATTGCCGGTAGATGGGCTTTTCAGCCTGGTATCCGTTTGGCGATCAACTCCTAACCAATTTTCAAAAAAGTTTGCCTAACTGAAAAGAGAAATTAACGGAAAGGAAAATGTATCCAAAGTGACGAGTGTAACGAAGCAGAAGATGTAGAAATAATGTGTCAGCCCAAGTTTGACTAAACCAGACCACATTTTTTAATACCAAAATCTGAACATCTTGAATAAAGTCAATGAAATGGCCCCAAAAATTGTGAAAAATTCAAGGCCAAGTGTAGCTGCCTGCAAAATTCAACTAAACTGAATTATACAAACTCAGTTAGCGTAATTGGAGTATGATAGGTTATATATCAAGAAAATTCACGGGGTAAGTTGTACATCGAATAAATTTAAAGTCTTTAGTTGGGTTCAAGTGGGTCATGGAATTATAGGATAGCTTACTTTTGCCTTTAAAGGTAAATTTTAGATTAAGCAAAGCGAATTTGAACCCTTTATTGTTGTTGGTTTTGCTTTATCATTTTGAACTTTTGCTTGATGATTGTGGTCTCAATCTAAATCCCTTTACATTTGTTATGTTGAGACCCTTATGGGGAAAAGAGAGTCCCCACTTCAGGTGAAGGGGAGAGAAGCTGTCGGTGGTGGGTTTATTGCAGAGAATTGGATGGAAGTCCCAGTTCAGGGTAAGGCTTGGAGTTTTTGCTCCCTTGTCGTCTCTCCCATCGTTTTTCAGTCTGAATAATGGATTAGGTTGGGAGGTGACAGAAAATGAAGGATTTTAGCACACGCAACGGGAAACCGGAAAGCAATAAAATTGCTCGGAATTGAGTTTCTTGAAGTTCAGCAACAGACAAAACTGGCAATTAGAAGTGAAAAAATTTCGAAAGAACCAGAGATAGATTTGAAACTGTAGTATTCCATTTGACTTCGATTAATTTTTTTATTTAATTTAAATTAAATTTGAATATTAACTGTAAATATTAAATTCAAATTAAATTTTAAATTAAAAAATAAAAAACCTAAAAAAATAAAATCATTATCCCAAAAATAAAATCAAATTCAATCCGATATCACTCTTACCAGCAATCCCCACTTACCACTTTCCTGATTTGTTTTTATTTAAGAATTAATCATGATTAATGAATGTCACCGCCTTCTTTGATTGAAGTCAATAGAACCAAAGTGGTTAAACGTCAGATTTTCATGGAAATAGATAGGCAAGTTGTCAATTATAAGGAGATTAAAAAAATAAGTAAAATAATAATCATAACAATTATGAGAATCATTTGGTACGGACCTTATGATTATAGCTACAACCAAAGATATGGGCGATGAATATGCAGGGGGTCATAATTTGGTCTTCCGTCCTAAGCCTAATATTCATGCAGCAGTTGCGCTAATTGTCATAATTGTGATGAAAGCGCGTAAAACCAAAAATCAAATATGGCTGATTATAACTGTTACGGGCTTGAAACACTTCCAATGTGCAAAGGTGTAAAGGTATGCATTTGTCTTGTATTTATCTTTGAACACAAAATCAATTGAATGGTCGGACTCGAATTTTTCGTTAGCTACAAATAGTATAAGCCTGACACATCAAAATTTGGATCAATCTACTATCATATTGTATTGATCTGGACCCAGGACATTGATATTAATATATTCATCAGGACCCTGGTATATTTCCATGTAAAATCGAGTCATTGACAACCACTGATGTGAACTGATGATTATAAACCAACTGACCTGGTGCAGTAGGGCGTGCATGTGCCAACCCTTCTTTCACCTTTTGATAAGCAAAACCAAAATGTAAAAGAGGGAAGAGAACATAAACTGCATCATCTCCGATGATATCAACTATTTCAGGGTAAGCCAATACCTATGAATGGAAGAGTTCTTGACCTAGCTGAACTGTGATAACAGCAGCATCCAAGCACTCAATATAGGGAAGGTAATCAAAGCAGAAGCCTGAAATACCACAAAATGAATTACACCAGATATTCAAGTAAAACTTCAGGTACAGAACAAGCCAGTAGATACATGAGAACATACCAGAAAGAATACCAGCTCATCATTGACAAAAGCTGCAGTAAATTCATTTCTTCGCATTTCTTGTTTGATGAAACCTTGCAACTGCAAACAGACAGATAAGAAAGAACTCTATTTATTTATTGCAAAGGCAAAAGTTCATAGGGAAGGGATATACTTCTTTGAACTTAGGCAATTTTGTCTAGAGAAATACATGTTAATCAAACCTGTTTACATGTATTTTCCAGTAAACCATATAATGGTTGCAACGAGCGCAAAGTAGACAGATTGGTGAAATTCATATTGCTGGTAAAATTAACTCCTTAAATTTTACAGCAAGCCCAATTCTGTCCTTCGGAGGAAAATTGAATTTTTATCACTCAAGGACTAAGTAATATTTTGAAGTAAAGCATGAGATTGCAGAATTCATGTTTGCATACATCCAATAGAGATGATTGTCTGAAGAGGATTCCATGATGGAAGTGCAAGACAACTCTTGACCCTTTTCTTGCAAACAATCTCAGTGCCTAGGTAATTAATGTTGGCATATGGTTGATATCATTCAAGGCAACATTGGCATGGGCCTCTAATATAGAGCCAATGAAGGTTCATAATCTAAGTCATCAAGGTACTACTTTCTAATGATTCAAAAAATACTTGTTTTTGGCTGATAGAACCATGATTCTATGAATACTCACAATCTTATTAGCAGAACCAAGTATCTCACCAGTTTTCATTTTTTTGAGGTTGGAAGAGACCAAAAGTTTCCATATATCAGTCTCTATGATTAAGTGTCAAAACTGATTTAGTAGAATAAAGAGATTATGCAATTTTGCAGCCATTGTATCTTAGAATCTTCTCACTCAAACAGCTTAGGAGTTTGAAGAGAAGCAAGGGCAATAGTGACATTTATATGTTTCCAGTGAGCTTTTTTCATTTTTATTGTTGGAAACTTTCACAATGTTAACTTTCATTAAAGTTTTGACATGTGAAGACCTTCAAGAGTAACATCATTCTTTTTCAGACATATCAATTATAGAAAATCCCATACATGCAGTATTAAACATACCTCATGGTGATACTTTTTAGCTGCTGAGTAAAATCTTCTCAATTGTTGCAGAGCTTGAGACATGTAGTATTTTATGGCAGATCCTTTTCCCAAGGAATAAGAATCCAATGCCTTGAACATCTTTGGAAGATGTCTTCCAGAAAGGTGACTAATGAACTATTTTCACATAAAAGATATTATTAAGACTCAAATGAAAGATGAGCATATGGCAAAATATATTTCCTTTTAATTAGAAGGAACTATTGAAGATATAGTTGTTGATGATGCTTTGATATACAAAGATAAAAATTTTACATAAATTTCAAATGGACCAAGACAGAAAACAAAAAGGTCTGAAAGACTACGTCAACTTATTATATTACCTTCAAGAATGTGCATCTCTTATCCCTTTGCCATTGAGCTTGCAATGCCCTCATCTGTAAGACAAAAAGCAATGATGCAAATAAAAGATTTGTTATAATGCCAGAACTTTTAATTTCTTTTTTGTTCTTTTAAATTAAATTTCTATATGAATTTAACATATAACTGATATCATTAGGGTCTAGGAAGACAATACCTCAGCAATTTGAAGTGCCTGCTCAAGATGTTGAATTTGAATCCATTGTTCTGTAACAACTTCTGCCATCTAAAAGCAAGGGAATGAAACTCTAAGTGAGTAAAATGCAAATGATTTCAACATCAGTTATATCAAGAGATAATAAAATCAAAAGGGAATAAACTTTTAAAATCTTCTACACATCACAATCAAAAGAAAGGCCAAATTAACCAAGATTGAGTTCAGAAAAATTATGGTCGCATCCAGGAGAAAATATTTCTTTTTTAATTTAAGAAATACAGCTTAGCAGTGACTGGTACATAAATGATTCCCCCGACCCGCCAACAATGATATTAAAATATACAAATGAGGGAACCTGAAAACTGCAATAATTGGAACAACAACAAGATGGTGTTTAAAGCGTTTTTTCTGTTATTGATGAAAATTCTTTAAGTTAATTAAAGATCATAAACAGAGAAATGTTTAGTCATTCAGCATTAGATGCTCACTATGTCTGACAAACTCTGAAGTGACAAACAAGAAGAAGCCTTCATCATTCACAAGCAAAGTCTCTAGTCTCTACACAGAAATGAACTAATGAATATAAATGCTGACCTTCTCAACTTGTGAAGTAACAACTTCCAGTTTATCCTCACTGTCCTGTGCTTTCGATTCTAAAACATGAAGTTCAAAATTGTTCTTTCTCAAAACAGCCCAAAGCAGTCGTACCTAGGATCATGAAGCCTACTACTCAAGTCAGTTGAATATTGCAATAAAGCAAACATTTCTTGTCAATCACCAATAACAACAGGCAAGGAAACCAATAGGAAAGAAAAATGGAACAGGGATTATATTTATATAAGCATTCAAAACGAACCTCCTCTTCTAGAGCCTTAAGCCTTTCATCAGCAAGTAATGAGTTATCCTGCAATTAATATAATACAAAATAACATGTCAATTTAATATGTACTTTCCTAACTGAATAAACCCTAATTTAATGCACTTTACTCTTCAATCTTCTGCTTTCAAATTGCTTTTTTTTTTCTTCTTTTGAGACATCAAATGGAGGGAGACATGCAATCCAAATAAATCTGAATAATAATTCAAGCAAATGAAACAAAGCGAAAACACCGGCAAAGATTCTTAGGAAAGAATTGAACCTTAAGACTGGATAGAGCAGACTGCAGAAAAGTGATCTTGTTTTCCATGTCGTCAAGAAGCTTCTCGCGTTCCTTCAGATAAAGGGTTTTAGCATTAATGCTTTGAATTCTTTCCTCGAGAATAGATTCTGCGTCCATTTTTACAACAATCAAGGAATCAAGCTTAAGATTAGTAATTGTTTCTAAGTAGGTAGGAAATTTTACCCAAACGAGAGATCCTGAGCTTGGCGTCGTGCAATTCACGGATCAAGGGATTGTGGTTGTTATTTTGCTGATCTTGGAATGTGGGAGAGAAGAAGAAGAAACAAGTGAGAATGGCAGGAAGGAGAATCAGATAAGCCGCCATTACTGTTTCTTGTTAACAATCTTTTCTTTCTTCCTGCAAGGGTTCCCACGTCGCAAGCGTAGGTAGTCGAAGGTTATAGCTTTAGATCCGGGAGTTTGACTAGAACAAAAACAATTACATACGAAAAACTTTCGCGATGAAAATAGAAAGATACCAACTATTTTTTTCTTTTTATTTACTTATATATATATTTTAAATTAAAAACTGCATTCTCCACGAGCAGAATCCATTTATAATGCCACATCTACAAAGAGTCCGTGATTCCAGTCGGGCCAAATCCGGTTGATACCTAAAAGCTTAGCCCGGACTCAAGTCCAACCCAGCCTCAAGCTCAACTCACCTAAGCTGGCCCGTGTATATTAAAATATTTTATTTTATTGCTAATGTTTATATATATTTTAAAGGTAAATAAATAATTTTTTTTAATAAACTAATGTTTTGAGCCGCGCCAAGTCTAATTTTGAAAAATCCTGCCCACGGACCAAGTCGCTTATCAGCCTCCCGGCGCGTGGAACCCATAAGACGAGAAGTTTTACAGGTTACATCGAAGATGAAATTGTTTTCAAAAGGGGCGTTGAATTCCTGAATCTTTCCAGCACACTTTTGGATTGTCGCAGAGCCAGCAGTACTAAAAGTAATACTCATTTCAGTCCATCTCTCTTGATCAACGGATGCTTCATCAGCAGCTGCCCGTTGTTTCAACGTGTCCACGGTTAAATCCTCAAGGCATTCTAATTTTTACATGATGATAAACCAAGAGTTACCTAAGCCTCTAGATAGCTTCTATGTATAGTAACAGAATGACACTGAATCACTTGAAATTCAAATCATGTCAGAAGCTGCTCAAACTCTATAAGAAAACAAGGGTATAACACCTTTGTTGAGATACACAGTATTGTTGAATGAAGGGATGGAGGGGGGGGGGGGACAAAGTTCCATGATATACCATGGGACAAGTGCAAATTGCAGAGGAACTTTAAGAGCACGTCCTTTCTCACACAGTGCTGCAACTTCATGCACTTTTGCACCAAAGAAAAACTTAGAGAAACCTTATCATAAACCTAGTCCCACTAATATTGTTGATTATGTTTGTGTGTCGTTATATTCAGTGTCAATTGATAGGTCAATGTTAACTTAAAGTAAAACTCACCACGTTATCCTCCCCTATTTCTTCAATAATTTCAACTGCATAACCATCTATCGTAGCTAAAAGCAAAAATCCATTCATCAAAAATTTCATGCTGCCTGTTCTTGATACTCATGTCCTGCAGTGCTGCATCAGAATCAGGACACATTAGGTACCGTGTAAATCAGAAGCAGCTGAACTGAGTAGAAGCAATTTTTTTTTCTTAAAATAGTTCTGGAAAAGGGGTTTGGGAGGTGGAGGAGAATTCTGCATCAATCACTTGTACATTATATCATTTCATCATCCTAATCTCTTTGCACTGCTGACTCTTTACTTTTGGAAGACATAATCATTCTACCTTTGCTTTTTAAATATAGGAATTTTAAATAAAGGAAAATCATTCATTACATAATCTTAATGACAATTAATGTAAAAGGATACCAAGGATATTCGACCCAAATTTACTGCTAATGAAGCCAATAGTTAACCATACAAAATGTTTGCAGACTTTGATTTATGAAAAGAATTACTGCTTTACCATTTATTCAGAAGCCCAAATTTTATATTTCTCTTCATTCAAAAAATCGTCTGCAACAGCCCCGTAGAACTTAACCATCCAAAAAAAATAGTGGCAGTGAAGATGGAAGTTAGTAAACAAAACAGAATAGTAAACTAATAGAAAGATAATGTCAAATATCCAATATTACAACAGATTAAAACAATTAAGTACTTGCAAACCTTCACAGGATATGTTACATGAACCCGCTCTATCTCCCAAGGGTTTCCAAAATTCAACCAAAAATCAGGCTATTCACGTTGAAAGCCATCCAATATGACTTGATGGAACAACCCATTCTGGTAGCGTAATCCATAATTATAGAAAAAGATGCACAAATCCCTGGAATTAGATTTATTACACATACATGTCAATATTTGTTAGAGGATATGCAAGTTATGCAGATGTAAATGACAAGATGTTGATGCAAGACTTCCTAAACTGACCTTGAAAAAAGAAGACTAGTACAGATTATGGATAAGCCAATAGTTGTTAGAAGATATGCAATTCAGCTTCACAGCCCATTTTGGTTTCAAAACCAGTAAGAATCATTATTCAGAACCCTTACCCAATGCAAGGCAGAGAGGAGTTACTTTCAACTTGTTTACTTGAAATACCTCCACAAATCTTACAAGCAAAATATAGAATACAGGCATACCCACTGCAGGATAGTCCAAAGTTGCTATAGAATCCATTTGACATGCTGAAAGACGAGCAAGGCCTCCATTACCCCGGGCAGCATCTCCTTCCTTAGAATATCATAATGAATAAGCTAAAGAGCGAAGTTAGTAGTTTATATGAGTATACCAATTATAAAATATAAAACAAGTGAATGTAAGGAAAGCTTGCTTGCTACATGCATTAAGAATCTACAAAGTTCAAATCTTGGTTCCCACATAACATGACCTCTAATATATACTCCATGCTTTCAATTCTCCTCACAATCAAACAATTTCTTTTCCTAATCTATCCGCTGAGTAATAATAACAATCTAAGATTAGGACAATCAAGAAGTACAAAATGCAAATGTCAAGCTAACCTGCTCTGCTAAAACCTCAAACTCAAAACCAAGCTGGCTTAGAGCATCTGCAAATGGGTCCCATATGCCAAGGTTGATACGGCCTAAAAATTAAAAATTACTCGAAGTTGTTTAGAATGAACGAAATTTAAATCAATGAAAACAAACCATAATAAGTTGTAAATCCAAGAAACTATTCTACTGTGTAATAGAAACCCCAGTTTGATCCTCTAGATTTGATAAATATAGGTACTAGGAAAGTAATAGAATGCATAACCAAACATTTAGAGAGCTCTTAAACTCATCAATCATTTTAAGGCTTAGATAAAGGTAAGAAAATACACAAAAGAAATTCAAGTGAAAGGAAGTAAATTCGCTTTGGGTCTTTCCTCTTGAAATGTATCTAAGTACCATGCCAACGTTCAAGCAAACGATCTCTCACACTATGTGCCAAAGCCTACAAATATGTTAAACAGTCAAAATCAAATTATATTAAAGCATCTATAAATTCCCGCCAAATTTCAAAAAAAAGTCACAATCCATTCTCAATCCAACAACGAAACCCTAAATCTTACCTGATAAGTTTCGAAATCGTCGAAACTAAATCGCGATTGAGCCACCGCGTACTCAACGTGATGTAAAATATCCTTTTGCGAGCTAATTGGGACGTTCTTCAAGAAACCATCCATCAAGCCTCCAAAGCCTAAACCATGCTTCCTAACCACTATCCTTATCACCGCCGACGCCACGGACACGGCGGCGTCATCGTCGATTGCCTTGGACTTCTTGATACAAGAGTAGCCATTGGACTGACAACTGAGAAATTTTACGTTGGAAGCAGTTGAATAAACGGATTAAATTCGGAGAGGTAAATGATAGGATGTGGACACGCTCAGTTGACAACCGTGAAATCTAGGTTAAATTTATGCCAGGTTGACAAATAGCTGGTCCAGACTGTCAGTTTGGATTGGAAAGCAGCTGACGCCGTATAAGTCGGCGTGAGAAATTCAAGTGCGGTGCATAGTCCTTCCCCGGCGACACGTGTATTATTGGGGGGGGGGATTGAAGCGACAGCAGGTAAATATCCGATCCATGATCCAAAATCCGAGATCCAAGACAGATATACTTAAGAATCTGACCCAGAAAACTTAAGAGATGGGCCCACTTTACCCAATCCTTGGCCCATTGTCAATCATGCCATACAGTTTAGGGCCTGGCTCATCAATTTGGTAGTGTAAAATACAATTGAAAGAATATTTAAAAAGAATTTTATAAAAAAATCCCTAAAAACACTAATAATTACATAAAAAGTGTAAGAATAATAAATTATTAATAACCTTTTAAAAAAAATTAGAAGAGGTTACTTGCCTATATATATATATATATATATATTGCTAAGAAAATACAAAATGAGATTTGATGATAAATAGTATTCAAATAAACTAAATAGTAATTTTGCCAGTAATCTAGTGTGTTTTGTTATTAATTTATCTAAATATTTAAAAATTTCCAAATTTAAGTTAAAATTTTTTTTGTTTTAAAAAAATTAAGTTAAAAAAATAATCTCAATCCAATATATGTTATAGATATGGATGAGGATTTACATTAAAGTATTAGATTTAAAAATTGCCTCACCTATAGTATTATTTATCAAGAAAGATTGTTTATAATGAAAATCAAATTTAAATTTTATAAATGAAGTATCCGATTCTTATAATTTAACGAATCTAATATTTACTAATATTTATTCATAGTTGAGATAGTCATTGTGTATTTATTCAGAATAATTTCTAATTCTCATTATCCCTTTTTCACTTAAAATTACATATCTTTTCTTTTGTAAAAAGTGTTTCAACTTTTAATTATTTTTACCAAAAAAAAAAAATCTATTGATTGATTTGAACGTGTGTTTTAAGTAACTAATGTAATGTTTTGAACTGTAAAACTAATGAGACAGGTTGTTTTGTCCGCTTAGGAACATGAAATCGGGACAAATAGTGTAGCTGATGCTTGGTCCTTTCGCACGATATCTGGAAACTTCCACACTCTTCTGATTATTCCCAATTGTCTTCCAGACATCTTTATTTATTCTTTTTGCCAGCCTTTTACCCTTAAAACAAAGCTAACTGCTCCGTATCGATTCCAGCAACACACTAAATCTGTCACAAATACAGTTTTCTAGGTTCTAACTTGAAGGTGAGATAGATAAAGGAGAGTGAAGGGAAGAGGTAGAGGAAGAAGAAAAGAAGATGGGTGTAGATTATTACAAGATTCTGCAAGTTGACAAGAATGCAAAAGATGATGATTTGAAGAAGGCTTATAGGAAGCTTGCCATGAAGTGGCACCCTGATAAGAACCCTATGAACAAAAAAGAAGCTGAAGCAAAATTTAAGCAAATCTCTGAAGCCTATGAGGTTAGCTTATCTTTTTTTTTAATTGATTGTTAAAACTCAGAAGAAAACTTGGGTTCCTTTATTTAGAATCAGCATGATCATCAATAAAGTTTAATTCTTTATCTCGTATTAAAATCAAATATTTATCATTGGGTCTCCTCAATTCAGATCTTAAGATTGACTATCAATGTAAAATTTGATCTTAACGTATATACAGAGTCTAAATTCATGCTAAGAAGTGACCAACTTTCAATGTTTGCAGGTTCTGAGTGATCCACAGAAGAGAGCTATCTATGATCAGTATGGTGAAGAAGGGCTAAAAGGCCAAGTACCACCTCCAGATGCCGGTGGACCTGGTGGAGCAACATTTTTCCAAACTGGAGATGGTCCAAATGTGTTCGGATTCAACCCCAGAGATCCTAATGACATTTTTTCTGAGTTTTTTGGATTTTCTAACTACTTTGGGGGCATGGGAGGCGGTGGTTTTGGCGGTGGGATGAGAGGTGGTACGAGGACATTTGGCGGCATGTTTGGTGATGATATATTCAGTTCCTTTGGCGAAGGAAGACCAATGAATCAGGCTCCTCGTAAGGCTCCTCCTATTGAAAATACGTTGCCTTGTAGCCTGGAGGAGTTATATAAAGGAACCACAAAGAAGATGAAGATTTCCAGAGAAATTGCAGATGCTAGCGGGTATGTCAGCTTTTTCAATTGTTGCAAGAGTTTTTCTTTGATCATTTGTGCATGCTAGTATGAATCCATTTTGAATCACACGAGTAATACTCATTCCAATCTGAGAAAAGATCCCAGACCAAATTATACCGACTGTTTCGTTGTTGCATCATTCTTCTGTTTCCAAGCATGGTGACCAAACAAATTTTACTGTGTGATGCAGGATGACATTGCCAGTGGAGGAAATCCTGACCATTGATATCAAGCCTGGTTGGAAAAAGGGGACAAAGATTACCTTCCCTGAGAAAGGAAACGAAGAACCGAACGTAATCCCTGCAGATCTTGTTTTCATAATTGATGAAAAACCGCACAGTATATTTACACGCGAGGGCAATGACCTGGTTGTCACGCAAAACATATCGCTGGTCGAAGCATTAACAGGCTATACTGTCCATCTTACAACATTGGATGGAAGGAGTTTGACTGTCCCCATCAGCAATGTGATTCATCCAAACTATGAGGAGGTTGTCCCAAAGGAAGGTATGCCGTTTCCAAAAGACCCTTCAAAGAGAGGTAACCTGAGAATCAAGTTCAATATTAAATTCCCAACGAGGTTGACTGCTGAGCAGAAGTCTGGAATCAACAAGTTACTGGGTAAATTTTGAGTTGAAACTTTGTGAATATCTTCTCCTCTTTCCTCTTAATCGACAATGCTGGCTGCGTGCTGCGTGATTTGTAATTAAGTAATGCATTTGTTATCAAGAAGCAAAGTTGTGATGTAGAACAATTTTGTACCTCATAAACGTATACTGTTTGCTATATGTACATATATGTTTGAATGATGCAAATCTTTACGCTCGTTCATGTCATCCAATTCTCACAAATTCCGAGTCCTGATTTAAATTGGGGAGGTCCTCGGAATAAGGTGGTGCATATGCCCTCCAATTTAGACAAGTAGAATCATTCATGGTGGAAAACTATGAATACCTAAACTTTATTAATAAATTTCTGTTATGCAAAGAACCATGACATTTTAAAGATTCCTAAAAGAATGCCCTCATGTTGGCAACCTTTTGCAATCAATCGCATTTCAGATCTGTATTAATCTCTAATCTTCTATAATTACTTAACCTTTACGGTCGAAAGGGAAGGGGCTGCGTCAGTACTCTGATCCCCCAGCCCTCATTCTGTCGCTTTTGAAGCTGCAACTTTAAAAACATGAAGCAGCTCATCCGTCACCAAATTCTTTTCCAAATGCAACAGTTTTAATCACTATAATCTTCAGAAACTGCTGAGTCCGAGCCATCATTATTTCTAGTTTTATCTGCTACTTCATCTGATGCATCACTCATCTCCAAATCTCCATCTGAATCTTCTTCTCCCAGCTGATCAATAACATTTTCGTCTTCATAAGCTTCGTCACCTTCATCACTAGCTTCTATTGGTTCTGCATTCCACCCATTAGTGGCACCATTAAAATCTAGCTCCCAGTTTCCTTGTTCATATTCCTCACCTTGGGCATTGTCATCAGATTCCTCTTCCGCACTGTTACTATCAGGAGGATTTACCATTTGCATCGTACTGAATTTTCCAGTCCTCCATTCTTCATCCAAGTTTCTTGCAGATACAACACTGGCCTCAGGTTTAACAAAATCAGCCATACAAGTCATCGTAGTATTATCAGCAGCTCTCCTTTCTGCTCTCTTTCTAACTGTTCGGCGGCCACGTCCAGAACTCTGACCATTTGCTCTTTGGCCCTGCTGTTTGAGATGGAGACTTAAATTATTGTTTTGTATGGCACTTCGCTTGCCGGTATGATATTTGGAACCAGATGCTATCCTCTGCCACTTTCTACCAGATCCTTGTTCACGACCCCCTTTTCCCCGCTTATAGTTGTTGCGCCTACTGTTACTCAGGTTAGCAAAGTTTTCTTCTTTCATAGGCTCATCTTGGTCGAGCTCTTTCAAGTCAAGCTCTTTATTCTTGATGAAAAGAGAGGTTCTTGAAGGAAGCTTCTGCATATTTGACAAAAATGGTTAGCTGACATTTCAAAATTAAATGGAAAAGTCCAGTAAGCTGCAATAACATAATATCATGACTGGGGAAAAAAATTGGGAGAAAAGTTAGGTGGTCACTTAGATTCTAGGCACATCCACAAAATGCCTACCTCTGGAAAATACCAGGAACATTTAACCATTTAGCCTACTGATAGTTCACATTAAAATATACCTACACGGACCACATGCTATGAAGGATTCAAGGAAAGGGATAAAAGGCATTAAAACACTCACTATATATGCTCTAGCTTCCTTGTTCTCATAAGGTTCAGCTTTCTCCCGCTTTACGTACATGAGGGACGCATCAAGCTCCAAAAGCCTTAAAGCTACAGCTGCAGTAGTTTGGGGTATCCATGGAAGCACAGAATCAGTAGAATCCCTCTCTGATAGAAGAATAGAACCCAATAATTCATTTGTCGTCTCAAAGTTAGATGATAAATGATCTCGCTTTATGGCACTCTCAAGGTGAGTTAGTATCTGGAAAGACAAAAGTGACATCTGAGTAGACCAAGACAAGAATTGAATCCAAAAAACATATTTAATAATTTGATAGGCAATGTAACATCAGTGATTAGTTAGCAAGAAATGTCTCTTCATATTAGGCACATTGAAATGGGGTGTCTGTTAGAAGAGAGCCTCAGAATAATAAAAAAGCAAAGCAAGAACAAGAAACATGAGCAAAGAACTTGGCAGATTGGTTAGGTAAATGTCATAAACACCATTAACGAAAAGGGTAAATGCCCAAAGATAGGATTCAATGTTTGCACGACTTTTCGTTTGAGAATGTTGTCTAATTAAGGAAAATCAATGATTAAGTTAGTGATTATATAGTGAGACTAATGGCAGGTTGTTAGTCCCATTCACAATAACTACTAACTTCGCTTGTCAAATTTCCTTCATTAGACAAATCTAAAAACTTAACATTCCAAATTAATCAAAATAATAGGCTAAATCCTCAAATGAATATTTGGGCAATCGTTGAATCCCAATTTGGGAATTTAGCCCTACTTAAAATGAATGAAAACCTTTAGGAGTTCATCTGCAGAAGAAGATGCATTCAGCTTCCTGGACCAAATCTTTTGATGGCCTTCAGTCCAAATTGATTCAAGGGCTTCTGGAGGAACAGATACCTGCCAGTGAAAATTTTGAAACAAAAAGATAGAGACATTAACTAAGACAAAAATTCCAATTTATACAAAAATTCATTAGTTAGTTGTTGCTAGCTCACCTCAACTATAGCACACAAGGACTTTAGCAAGTTGATTCCCTGGGGAAGAGAAGAATCAAGAATATAAGTAGCCTTGGTGTCTAACTTCTTGTTTTCTTTGCACTGAATCTCATGTTCTGAGAAATTAAAACTATTGTTAATGGAGCTAAACGTCTGGTGACAGTAACCACAGTGCATCTCATCTGGAATATGAGAGGCAAGGCATACATCACAAACAGCCAACAGCTGCACACATCTTTTCTTCCCATATTTCATGGCACACAAAGTCGAGGAATTATAACATTCTTTCCACATCCACCTCTGGAAATCTTGGTACCTCTTCAATGCTGACTTTTTCTCATTTTCATTTCTCCCAAGCTGAATTTTGAAAGAAGGTAATATCTCCGATGCATCAGAGTTCAATCCACAGATCGCACTACTAGGACTGTCAAAACTGGCAGGAAGGTCAGGACTAGAATCTATTTCATAAGCTTCATTTTCACTGGAGCTCCCACTTCGGCCCATAGCTCTGGCACACTGCAAGTTCCTGCGGACATTTTCTTTGAAGGAAGTCTCAATCTTTTGCAACATTATCCCTAAATGGGATTCCCTGATTCCACGTGCATCCAAAGACGACAAAAGGGTATCGAAGGCCTACAGAGAAGTCGATTGACTACATAAGAAAAAACAACCAGATGCAAGATACAAAAGTTATAGTGTTTGTTGCACTAGTCTAGCAATTCATCCCAATACATATTAACAGAGTTCTCTTTCTAAGAATAACATACCTCTTCAGAATCAATCAGCCTCCAGTTTCTGTCATGTAATTCAACAAATATCCAGCCAGAACAAGGATCATTTTTAGAAGCAGAAGCAACAAACTGCCAGTATCTATTGCGTCTTCGATCTTGGCCAAGTGGTAATGACCTGTACACATACATCTCTTCTGCTCTGTGGGCAATGTATGATTTCAATTGTGAGCGTGATCTTTTAGAAGTATATCCATGCTGCTGAGTGCAGAAGTTATCTGGAACCATGGAGGCCTCTTGAAGTACCAAGGCCCTTTCAGCAGGATAACTATTGAGGTCATTCTGAACATTTTGTGAACACAGCAAGGGTTTTTGGTCTTCTGGCATACTTGGCGATGCCTCATCATTTTTATTATCAGCAGCAGGAAATGGACTTTGGCTACCCTCTATGGCAGAATTAGGCAGTTGAGATTCAGCCTTGATTCCCATGACAGATGGAAAATCCATTTTAAAAATAGTTTCTTCCTTCAGACGACTTTTATCCAGCTGAGCCTCAGCCCACATTTGCTTTTTAAGCGCATTTGCAGCTTCCAAACGATCCTGTGAATTCATAAATCAAATTACAAAGACGAAAATAATAAGTGCCTTTATGATTAAAGCAACACCACAATCATGACATAAAACTGTAGTTCGAGATCTACCTCAAGCACAGCACGGATAGAGTTCCCTTCATTCACAATACCAATTAAGGCAACAAGGGCATTAAGGCGCTCCTCAACACTAAGATGAGAATATTCACCTTCTGAAAGACCCTGAATCCATGACTCACCAGACTTGCTTTCATCAATTTCAATATTCTTTTGATCAGGATTGCCTGTTCCAATCTTCTCACCAGCAACAAATGTTCTAGTGTTAATTGGACCATTGGCATCCTTCACAGTATTTGAAGGGAATGACGGAAAATCCTTATCAAATACACTCGGTACATTTAGTGCATCTTCAGTTGCATGGACTTTTTCACTTGCTGAACAAGTGTTTACTTCATTCTTATGATATTCAGCATCTTTGTTTGCATTCGACAAAGTAGCTATATCATCAACTTCAGGATCCTCATCAACATCACATTCAGAGTCTTCATCTCTTTCCACCTCATCTCTTTCAACTTCATCAGCATCCTCCCCACCTAAAAACCCATTTTCAAATTGCCGAATCTTTTTCCTTGCTTCTGCAAGTATGGACTCAGCATCAGCAGGATCTTTCCTATAGGCAGGCCGTAAACAATATGTTGAAGGAGCTATTCTTTCAAAAAGCTTTGCATCCCTTGTCAAAGCAACTGAAATAGAAGCTTCTGGTGTCTTGCTAGTTGTGAGGTCCCGAAGTCCAGATTTCTTATAGGAAACAGATAAATTAGGAAATTGAACGTAAAAGATACAAACTAATTTGACACTAATAGGAACACAATCCAAACTCACCTGAATCTTATCTGCAAGTTCTAACACCGTTAATCCTTTGCTTCCCTCAAGTGAAAGTACATGAAAAGCTGCAAATTTGACAGTTCCAGGTGTCAAGCGATGCCTTGATCTTCTTGGAAATAATAGACCTTTTTCACGCATCAATGCAAATGCATTCTCAGCTGCTAAGCCACTGCGTAGTGTAGAAACTACATCTTCACAACCTTTACCCTGCAGGTACAGATACAATAATACAGTCAGACAATAAGCCAATACCAATGTTTAACATCTGATGGTACCAATTCACTTAAGCAAACAACAACTTAAAGATGCTAACACAAAGCCTCAAATTTGTCCTATTTAAACATTTGATGCTGCCCTAGAATAATCAAGCGTAGAGCAACAATGAACGAACAATAATCTATTATAATAAGGCAATCTATTAGCGTCTTAACATATTGTACATTAAGATGCATCCTGACATATAGCTGATAGAAAATAGTTATCTCTAGAAAATATTATTGGTATGCAACACAACAAATCAAATTCAACTAAAAGTATAATTACCAAAAATATAACAGCACAGATCATCTAAGAGGATTCCCAATTGTATCACTTACTAGTACTCTTTTATCTTCACCATCTTAACCATCAGAAGGGATATTTGTTAGGAATCATGGACATATTCTAAAGAAGGGAGTTCCCAAAAACATATCCAACATTTAAAGCATCCCATTATAACATAAATACACAGAGACACACTAAATACTGTTATGGGAGAAAGAAGTTGGTTATCATCGTGAAGAAAAAGACTAGTGCCACAAAGTTACAAGAACCTCATTGTTATCACCCATGTAGGTCCGTGCAGCACTTTGTTTCTTCAACTGTGGTCCGAATCCTGCAGATATTGCTAATTGCCGGAAAATTTCAGGCCATGTCAAAGGATTCAAGTGATGCTGCCAATTGCGGATATCAAAACCCCAGGAATATGCCTAGTAGACACCAAATGAAAAAGGGTTCAGCAACAATGAAAAATAAGCACCAGAACAAACCTATAACACCACTTACCCCTTCAACAATCTGAGGGTGTCCACCTTCAGGGTTGGCAGCACAGTACTGATTCATCCCTACTCCAGTCACTGGTGTTCTTGCAACATCTTCAATGTCTTTTATTATTGATTTTAAAAGAGCAACATGAATCTCACCCAACAACCTTGAATCCTGATATCAAAATGGTAAGAATATCACAGAACAGAAAGCTGAATAAAAAATCAAAATGAGAAAACAAAATATTCCTTTAGAAACTCACATAGTCATGAAAAGCTTGGACAAACTCATCAAGAGTAAAAGGCCATAGTCTGAGAACATCAGCAAAAGTAATCAAAAATCTCCATGCCTGAAAAATGAAACCATGTTCTTAGACCTTTTACCTTGAGAAATAAAGGGCACCAAACTTATAAATTATAATATTACCTTAAATCATTTAGGAAATAAACTGCAGAGATATGAAAAGCATAAGAAAGATCATTACTGATGAGTATGTCATACCATGAGAAGATTCCCAACATTCTCCTCAGAATCAATCCATGGTTGAATGGCAAATGGTCTTTTCAATTGCACTGACTTGGAAGGGAACAGGCTTAAAGAATCTAAAACAGAAATATTAGTGTTACTATTGGCTCAAAGGTGCTAAAGAATCAAAATAGAGGGGAAAAGAACATGACCCATCAAACAATGAAAAATCAAAGAATTATTGAAAAATAAAACATAGACAGTAAGAGAGAAACAGAACAACCTTTCTGCAAATCCAAGTGAAAGAAATATGACTAATACACCTAGCATCATATCCTCCTAACCAAGAATTAATTCTAATTATTCATTAAAGGGAGAACACAAAATTATGCAAACAAACCACATTGAAAACATTCATTATGTTAGTTGCATCCAGTATTTTCATCCAAATGGTTGAATTTTGAAGGGAAAGGGAAAAAACAAAAGCTCAAGAGAATCTGAAAATATATTATTTTCAACTGTGAAGCAAGTAAATAACATACTCAATAACCAGGGAACCGGTTTCAACTAGAGCCTATTATTTTCAAAAGAAGTCACCTCAGAAATTTAGGGTTTTTTCACTTGTTCAAAATGCTCACCAATCAAGATAGCAATCAGACAAATACAAATGTCAAGTGGCATTTACCTCTAAATGACTCAAGATTTTGCAAACTATCGTGATCAAGATGAATAATTGAGGGTATTCCCTTGCTAGCAGCAGCCAACTCCATGAGTTCTAGCTGTTCATCTTCAATAAGATCCATGGACTCTTTAGCAATTTTCCGTGCAGTTGCCTTCTCCCTGGCAACTCTACGTCTCTCTTCCTCTTTCTCTCTGCGAAGCTCTTCCTTTTGTCTCTTTTTCTCAGCCTATAAGAAGGTAAAACCAAAATCAAAACCAATGACTAGAAGTGGTAGAGAGAGAGAGAGTTTTCATCATTCATGATTAAAGTCACAATATTATCCACAAAATAACTCAGGCTAAGGTTTTCAAACTTACTTTTAAATATTCTTTCTGCAAAAACTTTTCTCTTCTTTCCATTTCACGCCTTAGCTCACGCTGCGATCTCTCTTCTTCCCGCTGCTTCTCACGCATCAACCTCTCTTCTTCCTTCCTTCTTTCACGTTCATGCCTTTCCATTTCTTTCCTCATTTTTTCTTCACTCTGAGAAAAACAATTTTCATAATATGAGTGACTAAAGAGGATTTTCCAGGGAGCCAAATTCAAGGTCAATAAAATCAAAAAACCTTTCGCCTCTTATTATCTAGTTTCTCAAGTTCTTTCCGGACCCTGTTCTCATGTGCTTCAACTTCCCTTGCAATTATAGTTTCATCACTCTACAAGAAGAAAGATTATATAAAATTAGAAATCATGGAAGGAAATAAATAATATATGAAACATAATCTACCAAACTAGGCACCTTGCGCTTCTTATCATTTCGTAGATCAGCATCATTATTCAAGGTTTGCCCAGCAGACAACATATATGAATCTTCAGATCCCAAAACTGGGTGGGAAATAGACTGAGCATTTATTCTGCCGTTTGTAAATGACTCCCTTTCAGCAAGAGAATCATCAGCCACTTGATATGACGAAAGAATAATTCCTGTCTTGTCTTGTTGAGGTAAAAGACAAACTCGTGATCCATGAACCCTAGACAATGGTTCCTCTCCATGCACAATTGATGTAGCTCTAGCCCTTGCACCATCAACTGGGGATTCATGAAAATGAGATTGAGTAACTTGTCCGTATGCATCAGACCTAAGACTCGAATGTTCTGGGAGAAACTGATACTCATGAAAAGCCCTTGCAGCAACCTGGGATTATAGCTCATATGATATAAATAAGAAAAACCCATATCAAGTATGTAATATAATTTTCATTCCCATCAAAACAACAAGAAGTAAATAAGCATTTTAAATAAAGCATAACTTCTGGCTCAAAAAAAAGATCAATGATAATCATCCTAGCCATATATCAATTTAAACATCCTTGACTGCTAAACCAACTACATAACAGTCAGCACAACAAAAGAGGCCACATTCTTGAACCAGTTAACCTGTCCCAAAGAAGCATGCATAATGAAGGGAAAACTAGCATTCTGAAAATGAAAGGGTTCAGCAACATGTATTGTCACTAAATTTTAAGTCAAATAATTGGGAAAAACAAATGGAAAATTCATCCTACAATAGAGAAATTGTTATAACAAAATTACGAATATCACAACATTTTCAACCCCAAAATCATTCTAATTTCTTAATATGCTAGCAGTTAAACGTAAATGGAGTTTGAGAAACCAACTTTGCTTGACTGGCCATCATGTCGCTCATATAGCTTGCTCTCATAAGGGTGCCCAGACCTCTTGTGTGGCTCAGGAATTGCTGTTCACAAAAAAAATGAAATAAAATCCATGCATTTCCACCAACAAGGCTCTATACATAAACTACACTAAACAATATGTAACTTTATAAATCCATGAATAATGCAGCACCAATGTAGTCTACATTTCACGAAAAAAAAATTCCATGAAACAACAAAATCATCAAACTTTCAAATAACAGAAAAACAAGTTACTTATACCTCCAAATGCATCGGGAGGCAATGGATCAAACTCCATTCCGAGCATAGGCCCATCATCCCTCAATGGCTCCCCCAACTGTGCCTCCACACAAGCAATTGCTCTCAGCTCCATTATGGACTGCTGCGACTCATAATACCTACTCACCATTGGCGCATCCTCCATCGTGCCCCGAGAAGAACTTCCCCCCAACTTCCTTGAGTCCATATACGGACTAGATCCCGAACCTGATCCGGACCCGTAGTCCAGCTCCGGCCCGGCCCGTAACTCATCGATTGGAGATTCCGGTGGTGGCGCTGCGCCTTTTCGAGGTTTTTTTAAACGAGTTTCCTTCTTCTCTTTCAATCTCCGGTGACAAAACCACATCTGTAACTGCCGATCCGATAATCCTAACTTCTCCGATAACCCCGCTCGCGTCGCTTCCGATGGATACGTCTCCACTAAGAAACAAATAAAAGAAAAATCACCAGAAATTTCAAAAAAAAAATGAAATTAAAATTCTCAACAAGTTAAAAGAGAGAGAGATGAACAACATACGAGCATAGGCTTTCTCGAGAACTTCGAGTTGATACGGAGTCTTCATCTGTCGTTTAGGCTTAACGTTACCTTCATTGGAACTGTTAACGTTTTTATTTTGATTTTTTATCTGATTATTCTCTTCTTCTGAACCAGACTCCATCAGATCCAAAATCAAAGAGGAAAATTTAGGGTTTCAAAAGAAAAGATCTTATCTCTCTCTTGCTTTCCTCTTTCTCTCTTTAAAAACACGAAATATCGTGAAAGTCAAGAAAGGGAAAGGATGAGAATTATTATGGAAGAAGAACAATGAATTAGAAGAAAGAAGGAAAAAAAATAAATCAAATAATAATAAAAATAAAACAAAAGGAAAATAAGGAAAAGAAAAAGTGAAATTAGGAACAGAACAATAATAACAACAATAAAAGTCTTTCTTGACTCCAACTTCAAATTCCATAATAAAAATTTCTTTTTCTTTTCTTTTGTAGCACTGACTTTTTCCTTTTTTTTTTTTTTTTTTTTGTCTTTCTGATTTTGTTTTTATTGAATTGATGTGTTGTGTTTGTTCCTGGGCTTCTAAAAGAAAATAATAATAATAATAATAAATTAAATTTTTTTTCATTTTTGGTTGTTTTTTGTTTTTTTTATTTATTTATTTATTTTCTTGTATTTTTTGTGAGTTAGTTTTAGGGATGTTGTGTTCGTGGCTTGAGGCTCAGCTCTGAGCCTGTTGGGGGGGGGTTGGATCCCTTCGGTTCGGATATTTGTTTATGTTGTTGTTGTGGGGCCCTGCCTTTTCCCCTCATGTTCGGATTGATGAATATAGTCCATCTATAAAATTTGGGCTGAAATGATGGACCAACCCTGGCTAGATTGGGGACACTTGGAATTAAATTCATTTTTCATAAAAAAAAAACTATACCCTATAGGTAAAAGTATACCCCTCTCTTCCATCATCATAAAAAATAATCATATATTTTTATTTTCTAATCCATCCGTCCGGAATCAAGATAGTATAATCCGTATTGATGGAAATTAATTTTTTTAATATAAAAAAATCATAATCTGAAATTTGAGATAAAAAATAGATTATAAAATAATTAATTAAACCGATTGAGTTAAGATTATATTCGATAGATTGATGTCTGTTTTAAATCATGTTTTATTTTTTGCATTTTAATTTGTAAACTCTCGCAATCATTTACCATTCACATGATATCTTTTATTTTTGGCATCTGTTCTATTCAATTTTCAATGAAATAAAGCTTAATTTGAGAGACAGAATAAGTTATTTATGGGTTTAAGAAAATAAAAAATATATATTTTATATTTTTGTGTTAACATGTAATTTTTATATAAAATTTGATATAAATATATGAATTTTAATATTTTACATGATATAAATACACGAATTATCATATCTATTTCTATGCTTTTTTTTTTTTATTCACGCTGATTTTATTTGCTGCAAAAAAAAAAAAGAAATATCCCATTTGCATTATTTTAAGAATCTGCATATCTAGATTAGTTCAATTTTAAATTAAAGGCCAATTACAAGAGCAATCAATGTCAAAATGTTTTTACTTACTCGTTTCTCTTCGTCCATCTTGGCCTTGATGAAAGAGTAAATTGCCACTCCAGCAATTGCTATGGCTGTTCCTGTACCTGTTTGTGTTCAAATCTTGTTTCCTGTAAGAAGTATGTTGCCATTATATGCTGACACTAGAAGGGAAAGAATACTTCAAAAAGGAGTGTAAGATATAAACTTACCAAAGACCAGGATTGAGAAGTCAATGACAAACACACGTTCTAGCACATTGCCAACTGCATGGGTAAGTGGTGCCACCCGCTCCAGGTAGCCAACTGAATACCAAAAATCTTCATCAGCTTCCATGTGTACAATGGCAAGAGCCATCATGTTTGGACAGATTTATAGTAGCATACATCAACAACAAGAATAGAACTTAAACAATAAAAAAAAGAAAAAAAAGAAGATAAGGCACCTGATTGTAGAGATGGTAAAACATTCCCACCCAAAAGAGATCCAAGATGAATTTAGTCATACCAACTTCAGCAATAGTATCATTGAACCCATGCTTGATCAGTTGAGGGCCCTCGAACTGAAACAGGCTGGTGGGAAAAAAAGGTTTAAAAAGACTATGTGCTTTAGTTTTTTAATTATCTAAAACCTCAAAGCATTTTTCACTTGCAATGATGGCTGGGGGAATACAGACGAAGAGAGCAATGATGGAAATATAAGCATAGACGTTTGTACTGTCCATATCGGTCTGCATATACATGAAAAACCAACAATTATCATAAAATGTTTATCAGGAAGTGAAGACCAGGAGGAAAGGAGGAGCTCTATTTGATTCTTTCGAAAAGAAATTAGGTTAAGAGTGTCAAAGAAAGTCACCATAGCTTTCTTGGAATAGATACTCCTGTAAGTGAAGGAGATGTTAGAAATCATTGCGCTAATGAAACCCCTCAGATTGAATGACAGCTCGGTCAGTGATGCCATGGATACACCTGCATTCAGTTTTCTTTTAAATGATACCCAAACATGGTGGCACATTAACAATTCAAGTGCAATATGCCAATATCATAGCAGAGTTTTATAGTTTGTTTATCTGCACAATTAGAGCTGGAGCCCATTAAGAGAATACAATTTACATTTGAACTATTTCGAATGAGCTGGTGATCAAACAGAGAATAGAGAAATAACCAATAACAACGGGAGCAAGAGACAGCCATAGCGTAATTGGTATGGATTGTCCAAGTACGAACTGGGAAGCAGCAGCATTGAAGAAAGGCTCAAGAGCTGAAAAAACAAACAAGTTATGACTTCATGAGCCAGATTAGAAGTAGTGAACTGAACCTGGAGACAGAACGTTGAAGAGATTTATGTAATGTCATTGATCACCTTTGATTGTGTGGGTGAAAGAGACGGCAACAGCTGCAAAGGAGACATTGCTAGTTACATGGCCTACTGCATGGCATACAGCAACGGGGATCAACAACTTCAGTAGGTTTGAATCAATAGGCTACACATTAAAACAACAATTACATAGTATTATCAGTAATTACGAAAAAAACAAATACTGTAACATTGAGATGGTGGGATTAGAAGGTTAACTTACGGCCCGCTTGGGGAGGCCCACGTCCCAACTGATCAAACAGTAAACCACCCCATCGAACAAGTGAATAACCGACACAAAAGACAAAACTGCGCTAAAAATGCCAAAAAAATAGCCTTAAATCAAAACCAATTTTTTTCTAAAAAAAAAAATGTACAAAAAAATTCAATTACTCACTAGGTGTAGGGGAAGTAATTGTGAATCTTCTTGTTCAGAATGTTAAATATTACATTCAAAAAGTACCTGAAAAAAAAAAAAAACAAGAGGACGATGATGTAATTTCACAAAACTGAAGTAAATTTGAATCTTGACCGAATCTTAACCACCGTTTGACCCGGTAATGTTTGACGGTTAAACTTGTTGACCGAGTTTTGTACTTACTACATGAAGAAGAAAAAGCCAGCAACAAGAGCGGGATACTTCTTTAAGAAGCCAACCGGAGCGATCTCTGCGTCCCTGCAAAAACAACGAGTCAGTGAGTCAGAGACTGAAGCGTGGACGAGCTGACCGAGTCAGAATGGAGGAAACAGACCTCACCCTCCGTCGGCTGGCGACCACGCAGTAGCTAAAACCGGCTTCAAAATCTCTCGCTTACTAACCGTCGAGCTCTCGAGTAGCAGAGGCCGGCCTTAGCTGCCTTCCCCATATCACATTCCCGCCTTCTCCGACGGCCCCGATCAGCTTAGCCGAAGCAAATGACACGTTGACGCTATCTCGCGAGAGCTTCGGCCTGAACTGAGGCAGGCCAGTGATGGTGGATGCGCGTGACAACAATCGCGACTCCATTGCTCCTGAGAGAGAGGAAGACAAAATGAGATGTGTGTATGGTATTAACAATTTTTTTCAATGTTAGTGGCTCGTGATTCTCGAATAACGACGTCGTTTTGATCCCCTACAATAAGACACATGATAATATACAGCGTCCTCTGACTTGATCAAGTAGAATGAAGATCAGAAACCGAGGGGATTGTTGATCAACCGTGGAGAAACAGTGTGGGGCACAAAAAAGGAGTATTAAAAGAGGCACTGGAGAGAGCCGACAGGTGGGGCCAGATCTTATCGCCTCTCTTTCAAAACTCCTCATCGTCTCCGATCTCTTTTTCTTGTGAGGTTAAAAGTGTAAACTACTAGCACAAAATTGAAAATTAATTTCACAAAAATAATTTCAATTTCAGGTGATTCGTCTTTTCTTTTTTTTTTTGTTAATTCTTAATCTACTTTTCAATCTTTTTACTCGATTACTTACTTAATTGAAAAAAATATTATATACATAAATTTTTTTAAATTCACAATCCCTAAATACCAATTTCAAATAACATATTAACTTGTCCAAGGGATAATCCCTTTAAAAAACCGCAAACATACATGAGAGGGTTGGTGTATGTAGATTTCGAATTCAGTTATAGTGTTGACACATGTTAGTTGTCTAATAAACAGGACACCTCTTTCAAGTTTTCAACTATCTTCATGTTCTTGTCTTTTGGTGTTTTCCTCTTGTCAAGCTCCAAAGATCTTGGATTTTGTCTTTTATCTCGAGTTGACATCGGATCAAGTTCGAGATAGATTTTACTCGTTTCGAACTTCAATTAATTTTATGTATTATTAAATTTGAATATGATCTCGATTCGATATTATATAAATCGTATTTAAATTTAAAATTAATAAAATATTATTTTTTAAATATAAAATATTTTTTAAAATATAAATATTTAAAAATATTATTATATAAATATATATAAATAAAAATTAAATAATTAATTAAAAAATAATTTTTTATATAATATCAGATCAGATTGAATTTGCTTAAAACTCAAATTCGACTCGATTTCGATTGTTTCATAACATTACCTGACCCAACCCAAAACTTAAAAAAAAAAAAAATCGATCTCATAGGATCGGGTAAGATCGAAACCCGTCAAAAACATGTTGGATTGTCGACCCTACTCTTTCTCTTGGAGAGAAACGTTAAGTTTAGCTAATAGAACATATTATCAAATTCCATATTTAAGCATAAATGTCTCATCCGTTCAAACTTTTACAATTGTGATGCAATTTTTATCAGGTAACAAGAAATTTGCTGAAAGTTGAGTTGAATAACAGATTTTAGCATAAAAAAAATATTAAAGGCGTGCGAAATAATATTTCAAGACGTGTTTTGATACTGAAATCAACAAAAAAAATAAAGAGGGGGTGGAGTTGTAAATATTTTACTCGTTTTATTCGATTTTATCTTTTATACTTTATAGAAAAAAAAAAAAAAACAAGGAGACTGTGCATCTTGGGTTGGATATGCGGATATGACAAAAAGCCCAACAAAGCTAGCTGGCTATTTTTTTTAAGCTTATAAAATACTGGGCTGGTTTGGTTATTATGGGCTACAATAATGGGCCACATTCGGCCTGCATCAGGCTGGTTTATATGAGACAGTGCGACGGCGCAAGCCGTAAAACAGTTGGTCATCACCGATGAAGAACCGCACTAGCAGTTTGATTTACCAACATTTTCGTCTCACTCGATTCTTTTCACGATAGTGAATTGTAAGATTCTTCTTTCTCTTAAATATGCTTTTGAAGACGTTTCTAGTTTTTTTTTTTTCCGTTAAGTTTTTGTAATCTGATTTCTCATGCGTTGATTATTTGCTAGTTATTCTTTTAGTTTCCACCCACCAAATGTTCGATAAAATGTTCACGCTACCAATCCAATGCATAAACAGTTCATGTTATTGCACGTAAAATTTCCAATGTATTGTTTGTTTCTCTTTTCTGGGCTTTTGATAAATTTTAGAGCCTTCCATTTGAGTATATTGGGATGATAAATTTGAGGACAAAATTTGCTGTTATGTATTCGTTATTGGTTTAAATTAATGGGTATCAACATCGCGTTTTAAATGGTTGAAGAAAACCACTCCTTCCCAACTTGTGCACTTAATAAAAGCAGAGAGGGATATAGATAAGGCTCTTGCTATGTTTGATTCGGCAACAGCTGAGTACGCCAACAGTTTTTATAATGATCACAGCACTTTTGGTGTTATGATCTCTAATTGAGTGTCTGCGAACAAATTTGGACCGGTGGAAGATCTCCTTGATAGAATGAAGGTGGAAAAGTGTGATATAAGGGAAGATATATTCCTTTCTGTTTGTAGAGGCTATGGAAGGATTCATAGGCCATTGGATGCCATGAGGGTCTTTGATAAGACAAAGGAATTCCAATGTGGTCCTAGTAAAAGAAAATCTTATATTACTGTGTTTTGATATTCTGGTTGGAGAGAATCAGTGAAAGATTGCTTTGAGGTTTTATAGGCATATGAGAGAAGTGGGAGTTTCCACTAATGTTGCCTCTCTCAATATTTTGATTAATGCACTCTGCAAGAACAATGGAACAATGGATTCTGCTCTTCATATATTTCATGAGATGCCTAATTGAGGGTATTCTCCAGATTCTTATACTTATGGGACTTTGATTAATGGGTTGTGTAGATTTGGAAAGATTACTCAAGCAAAGGAGTTATTTGAAGAGATGAAAACGAGAGATGTTCTCCTTCTGTTGTTACATATTCCTCATTGATACATGTTTTATGTCAGTCAAAGAATATAAATGAAGCTATAGGATTAGGATTGCTTAAGGAGATGAAAAGCAATGGCATTGAGCCAAATGTGTTTGCTTACAGTTCTTTAATGGATGGCCTCTGCAAGGATGGGCGTTCTTCATAAGCCATGGAACTACTAGAGACTATGGTTAGAAAACGTTGCAAACCCAACACAATAACTTATAGTACCTTAATTCATGGACTATGTAAAGAGGGAAAGCTTCAAGAAGCTGTGAAGATTCTTGATAGGATGAAACTTCATGGCCCGCAACCTGATGCAGGGTTATATGGGAAGATCATAAGTGAATTCTGTGATATTAATAAGATTCAGGAGGCTTCTAACTTTCTTGATGAGTTGGTCTTAGGCAGGACCTTGCCAAACCAATTTAACTTGGAGTCATCATGTTAGGTTTTATAGTATGGTGCTCCAAGGCCTTTGTACCGAGAGTGATTTAAGTCAAGCTTCCTAATCATATCTAGCCATGAGGACTATGGGCAGCTTTGTTGAGACTGGGACTTTTGAGACTCTTATGAAATCCTTCTGTAAGAAAGGGGACCTACACAAAGCTGCTTGCAATGTTGATGAAATGGTGATTGACGGATGTATCCCAGAAGAGGGAGCATGGAGTATGCTTCTTGGTGTATTTTGGGATCAAGGAATGGTTCACGAAGCTGTTGAATTATTTCAGGTTGAGATGATGAGTGAATTTGCTGAAGCTTGCAGAGAAATTCAAGATGAAGCCCTTCGATTTGGTATGCAACTATGGGTCTTATGCTTCCATTATTCCAATTATATACGTATGTCTGGTATAGCCTTACCTTCTAATCTAACTTGATTACTTTTCACTTAAATATATTTGTCTCATCAATTACTTGGATTACTTGTACAATAAACCATTCCTTTTCTCTTTTCCTACAATGACATAATTCAGCAACACTTGTTTGCTGTTGGATTTTCACTTCATTTCTCATTTACTTATTTACTGACTGAGTTTTTATGCAACTGATGATGTCTCTGAATTCTGAACCATGTATTATGGTTTGTTACTTACTTTCCTTAATGGGAACTAATACAGGATCATTCTCTAAGAACTTTCCTTAATGGGAACTAATACAGGATCATTGTCAAAGAATTCTAGTTTATTTAGCAACTGGACCAAGAGGTTAAAGCTGACTGAGATTATAGAGTTATAACAATAAGTGGTCTCATCATCTGCACTTTTGAAGAGATCAGAAGTGAAGGATGAGTACATTGGCATTAGAAGAGTTTCATGACGTTGGAAACATACGGGTATTTGAATCTCTTACAAAAAGGGGAAAATGTTAATTTGCAGACAGGGGGAAGCCAATTCCATGCCGTGTGGTAGGAAAGACAACAAACAGCATACTGGAAAAGATGCCTATCCCAACTGGCAGTGCTGCGAGGATCTCCTGAGCTTCAGTTGATGGTGTTGGGTAAAAGCAACTTACGACATTCTGATTAAATAGTGCCACAGCTGCAAATACTAGTATTGACATGAAGGCATGCATGAAATCTATAAAATGCAGACGGTATTTTGCAGCAAATTGCGGTGGAAGAGTGACTGAACCGTCAATGACCCACAACCCATTAAATGTGGCAAAGCCATAATAGACATTGCCTTTCTTGTCTCTGAAACTATCTGTGAAGCTCATCAGGAAACATGATAATCCACAAAGCAGTATGAGGCCAGCCGTCATGGACCGACTGACTGAGTCACAGTTGCCTTGGTTTGTGAATATGGGCGAGAGAAGTTGGAAAGCGAGAACGGTTCCAGTGGGCAATAGATTAGCCAAATGTGCTGTGCTTTGAAATGTTTGACTGATTGCCTTTTGTATGAGGCTTTTCTTTTCACTTTCAGATTCAGGCAAATCTTGCAGGAGAGGTACTTTATGTTCACCATGTTCATGAGATTCTTCACCTTGTACCTTAATCTCCATAACTGAAGCTTTCTCAATTCTCTTTTCCTGTTACGTTGATCTCACTTTGGCTGGTTGTCAAAGGTCTTTGCTGAGCAACAGTACTTATGGAGATGGAAATAAACATATTTTTGAGTGGAGATAAAGGAAGGGAAGACAATGAAGTGATGCCTTGCAAGGAAAAGGAACCAAAATATAGAAAAAGCAATCTTCCACCATTCCAGAACTGGAGTTTTGGTTCCACGTTGGTTAATGCAAAAGTTTACTTGGATAAAGTTAAGAAGAGCGGCTGATGTCCATGTAGTTTAATGTCATGTATTCTTCATGACCGTTAGACATTGTACCAAGAAAAGTCTGTTAAAAAAAAAAAAAAAACCTGTACCGATTAGGTTTGATTCCAACGAGAAATCTGTTGCTTATGTCCAATCAGCGAGCCACTTGTTTTGCTGAGACGCAATGCATGTGAACTGGCTGTCTTCTTTTATGGGGAACTTTCACATTAATCAATTTTTTTTTATGCTTGTTTCAGAGGCTACCATCTCTGCACTTTCAAGCTGTTTATTTTTTTTTTCCCAAAATCTATTTGCCAAAAGGGAAATGCATACAGCCATCGCTTGCACGTTATAACTTCAGATCAATGGGGAATCCCCTCTGTGGTTGACGCAAATCCTGCTTTGTGCAAGTTTAAACATAGGATTATGTATAATTAGTAAGTTTTGATTCCCAGTAAAACTTTTGCAGGATGCCAGCTGACCGACCATAATACCCTGAAATAAGGGCATTTCTTGATTGTCCATCCCAAATCTTTTTTTTCCTTCTTTCCCGTAAAGAAAGGCATTTTGTATGGCTAGTTCAAGTTATTGTGGAACTGAAAACAAGTCTTTAAAACGAAAAGAAACCTCCCATCAAACCAGTTTACGCTTAGTGTTTTTAGATTTTAGCTTTCGTTTTTAAGGAGGTAAGGTATTTTCTAATGTGATTTGTGTGTGAGAATTGGTGGAAGACCTCATACTCTTTAGTTTTTTTTTTTTGTTTAATCTTCAAGCAAAGCAACCAAGCCGTCAAGTAATGAGTTGCTTAAACGGATGAAAACGTCCGCTAATACGCAAATATTTCATTCAATCTGATGGACTCACTTGAAAGAGGGCCTGCTTCATCAACTGGCCCATATTCAAGAAGCTACCCAAACAAGAATTAACTCCTTGATTTTTCATCTTTATTTAGTGTTTAATAGATCTAATAATTTATGTATTTGTATTATATAAAATATTAAAATTCATATATTTATATTGTGTTTAATATAAAAATTATTATATCATAATTTATGTCAACATGAAAATATAAAATATAATATTTTATTTTATTAAATCCATACATAATTATTAGTATAATTTTCAGTCATATCATATTTATATTTTATTTGTGTATAATATTTATATTATGTCACAATTTCGTGATTTAGATTATCATGTTAGTGTTTACATTGGAAAGAGAAACTCAACTAAAGAATCAACGCTAAGCACAATCCGAAAACGATAAAAGAGATTGAACATTTTTACAATGAGCTTTTCATAGTAAGCCAGCCCCAATATCAACCAGCCAACCATAAGCCCAACTAGTCGTTTGGCAAGACTGTGATCCAATATATCCTGGGAAAGACCAATGAAGGATTGGGCCTTCGTGATTTAGGATCAAAAAGTTCAGACGATTGAGCCCAATGGGGATATCATTCGGACCACACCAGACAGAATCCTAGTCTTGATTTGAAAAGTGCAAAAACCATACAAAAGATTATTGGTATCATGTTAGGCAAGTGGATGAACGCTATATAATTTGTTAATTATTTGGTAAACAGACCATATCTATAGGCTATTAGGTCAAGTTTAGATGATGTGCTCAAGCTTGAGTACAAATTTATTCGGTTTATCCAACTCCTGGAAGACGTCCAACGTCAAACTACACCAAAGAAGGTGAAAAAGATTCCTACAATCGTATTACTATAAAATATAATATATTTAAAATAACGGTATGAATCAATTTAATTGAATTTATTAAATGATTGTAAAAATTAATTTAATTAAATTTTAAATTCTAAAAAAAAGGGATGTATTGTTTGGATTTACTAAATAAAAATTAATTAGAAAGCGAAATGTTTTAGATTAGTTGGCTAGATGGATTTTTTTTTTCACCCAACCTTGATTGTTACAAAGCTGTTTATAATAGTTAAAATAAATGTTGTCGAATTACTAGATGATTAGTCTTGGATGTTGCTCAATTGATCAATTCTTTTTTCTTGGTTTCTGAATGCTATTGGTAAGCAGTAATTTCTCGACTTCGCTGCTTTCATACCATTAACTCCATAGTTTATAGTCCAACATTGCCATCCACCGAAAGATAGATATATATATATATATATATATATTTATTTATATATTAGATTGAATGGGTTGTGAGCTCAGCCCCAGATGGCCCTTCCCATGACGGATGATGAAGGCAGGATAACAAGTTGATCAGTTTTGTGACATACAGACGCTTTATATTGCCTCTTTCCAGAGATGACACATAAAAAATTTGGTAAAGAAAAGCAATTTGGGGTGGATATCTACAAGATTGTTTATGATATATATATATATATATATATATATATGAATATTTATCCATTAATTTTTCCCAGATTTAATGAATTTCTTGTAGTAGTAGAATGCTTGACTGCAGTATCTGGTCCAAAATAGTTAGGTAGCTGTTTACAAGCTAGAGCTTGGAAATTGCCTATAATCTATTTTAATCAGGGAATTCAGGATTAATTAATCTGTCATTAACTGCCATTGAATCAAGAAGAATCTGCTGTCTTTTGCGGGCCATTAGGCAATCATTCTAATGTTGAGTTCACACCCACCTCAAATATTCTTCGCTTATGATCTTGTGACTGTTCATGGTGATAAAAGGCAGGTCCCATGCATGCCTAAATTCACATCCTAATACGAAAATCTTGGGTCTCAAATCCAAAATTTTCTCTTTTTTTTTTTTTTTTTAAATGGCAGAGTTTTTTATTTTTATTCAATACATTTTTTTTTAAATTAACCCAAATAATTTTTGTTTACGTCGAATTTAATAAAATTATAAAAAATTACATTCTCACAATCTTTAAATGGATTCAAATCTAGATAACAAAAAAGAAACATATTAATGGTATATTTGCCTTTTTGGTTAAATGAAATTATAATGTTTAAAATGATGAGTGTATTTGCCTATCTACTTATTAATATTTTCGGTTAGTACATGTAGCATTAAGAATTAGTATTAGCTACTTGGCTAGAAATTAGAGAGAGAGGGAAAAATAATCATCATCATTTCCAACATTAGCTATTACTTCTGATTATGTTTTCAAGATGCACAAGCAATAGCACAATCAAAATGGACCCTAAAATTATGACTTTGTTTTCTTCTAAGCAATTAGGAACATGAGAAGTTGTCAATGTCTAAGCCTATGTCGTTTTTTCTCTATAATGTTTGATTATTGCACTGTCAGAAAACAAAGAAATAAAAGACAAATTAATGGTTAACTGATATATTCTGTCTAATTGTAACCCTGAAATCTCTTTCTTGCTCAACCTTGTTCTAACAGCACAAAAGATTTTCCTTCTTAATTACTCCAATCATGAGAGAGAGAGAGAGAGAGAGAGAGAAAGGGGAAAGTTTAAAAGGCTGTGTAGTTAGTTTTGTGATGATGAACTTTCTCAATTTGCAATAAGTATGAGCCACTCTTTTGCAACCAACTCATGGGGGTAGCCCAGCTGCACAAACAAGTATGCTGATTCAAGAGTCTGACCTTTCATCACAAGGAATTTCTTTTACACCAACACTCTTTAATAATTGAGAGCTACAACCTTTTCTTCAATGGGTTCCCCCCTCACTCCAGTTTTCTGGTACCAATTGACAAGCTACCTGACCTTTTCCCTCAAATTCAGGTGATAACCTTGGGAAATTAAGTCTAAATGATGGCTTAGCCATGACCTCACTTTTTACAAAGGCTAAATTACTAGCTACCAACATTAGAATTGCTTTTTTATTTATTTTCTTTTACAAAGGAAATCCGAACCAAAAGAAAATTAAGGTTGAGAAATTTACAAATGCCGAAGGTTGAATCTCAGCTTTACAATGATCCACCTCTTAAGAGAAGTGGGTGAATCATTTAGATTAAGCTTCAGATTCATAATTGCCTTTCTTTGAGTACTATATTTCACTCCTTAATTGTTTTTCTTCTCAAATTATCAGCATCAATTAAAGAAATATAGTATTTAGAGGCTAATACAATGATAAAAAATGGGTAATTTCTCCTACAAGAAAACTTTACAATGATATGTATTGCACAATGCACACACCAATTCCATCTTTTGTCTTAGGAATTAGCCTATTTGAACAGTATAGTCAAATTCTTGCCTACAGCCTCAACCTGTTTTTAACATATCATATCCAGGCAATATAGTCGTATGTGAAAACTATAGAAAAGTAGAAATAAAAAGAGGAAAAAAACTGTAGTGGTCAGGCATGCATGACGTGCAATTTCAATGCCATCCTTTGTTTCATATATGCTTCTACTATAAACAGCCAAAACCTTGAGTTCGAGTGACCCAAATCCAGAACATGGCTTGTTTTTTTTAGCAGATCTTCTGCATCGTATGATTCTTTCACAAGACATGGTTTGACAGTTGTGTAGGAGAAAAGAGGCAGTCACAAGCAACAAAAGCCCCGTTAAGTCTTTGCCACAACTTCTTTTTATTGTTTTTGTTAACTAGAAGGTCCTACAAGAACCAAAGATCAAGGGGAAATTGGAATTTTGGACCAAGCTCTCTGTTCAATCTAAATAGAATTTGTTGTCCTCTTCAATTTGAACAATAATTTGGGTTAAAATTGTCTCTCAACCGAAACAGATTTTGGATGATTAGTTGACCACGATTATAGAATAATAATCAGCAAAACTACAGCAGTGGTGATAATTATGCAAGTTCTTTATATTCATGTTCTTGGAATTTTCTTACAATCGAATGGAATTAGTTAACATAACATGGGATTCCTCAGCCTGGAGTTCAACAGCAAAAATTCCTCGCATTTTTCTAACTTACATGATAGACAAATGTATTCAATCATCTTTAAAATATGCTAGATTCATCATTAGCATGAGAAAAACTGCATGTTCAGTGCTGGATATGAGTTAATTTACAGTGGAAAAACAAGCTCCTTTTGTCAGTTAAAAAAAGTGATAAAGCCTTTTTCTCATTAGAATCAAAAGTGGGTAGGCAACAGTTTGCAGAAATGTACTAGTGCTTAACCAGTCTGTTGCAAATAACATGTTCTGTCAAATCTTATCCCTCCCCTTTTTGATCTGTATAGAAATAGAACTTGCTTTTGAATAAACAGAATCAAGAAAATCTCATACTTGGTCCTCACAGATTAATGAAATATAAACCCAAAAG